GTTATATTGTGAGATAAAACCTCATATTCATTAACTGATATCTTAATTTCAATCCCTTGCCTCTTGTTTTGGACCCCCAGGTACAAGAGAAGAAAAAAAAAGGAGAAATAAAGAAAAATACAATCATATTAATTCGGACTAATTATACATTATCTCTTGTAATTAGCTATTTTTTTACATCTTGGTTCCTATACTTTCAAAAGTTATATTGAGATATCTATACTCACAAAAGTGAAACATTTAACCTCGTGCTTCAACAAAACCCCTCTCTCTTTCTTTCTTAATTTTTAACCATGTGAAATTATCTTTTTAATCTTGTATAGGAATCTCAATGTTTCACTATGTATGAGGATCCCAATGTAACTTTTATAAGTGTAGGGATCGAGATACTAAAGGTAGCTAATTACAGGGGGTAATATGTAATTAGTCCCATTAATTCAAATTAATACTCTTTCATTTAGGGAGATAAATTTTAAATTTTGTCTCAGCTAATTTTTTCCCTTTTTTCAAAAAGATATCTGATCGATAGATTTCACATTTCTATTATGTAGAAACTTCCTTGTAGAGGTGAAATGTTCAATCAAGATTTATATTTTTCAACCAAACAAAATTTTGATTTCTTCCATCTTTTTTCTTAATTGTATACATTTTCTTTTCCTTGGGCAATCTAGAAAACTAAAGTTAAAACATGGGAGATGTTGCATGTATATCAAAATTATTCTATCTAAAATATTAAAGTTATTCTATCTAAAGGAGTAAAATGACTCAAAATGAAAAGAAAAAACTTGTTTGTCTAAATTGAATATATGCCAATGTAACCTGAATCCCAATTTATTGCCAATCCTAAGTGTATTATTACTTTTTCTATCACCATGCTAGTGTATTATTACTTTTAATGATTGTATCATATAGATTTTTTGTACTCCTGTGTCCATGATCTCCTAGTTTCAGATCTTACACATGTTTGCATTTCAGATATTGGCTGTTTGAACCTCGTTGCTGTCTGCATGACGTTGGTGGCTGGTATATTGAAACATTTGGGCGGGACAAGAAAGGAAAGACTGTCCCATCTCAAAGACAGTGGGATGGTATGATTGAACAGTCTGAAAAGTAAGATTATGAGCTGCAATTACATGCTTCTATCTTATATATATATCTACTCATTTTTGTTCTAAATTGTGGAGCAGCAACTTAAGTGCTTAATATCATCTTTTTGTTCATCTTGTACAACATGATACAAAAGGTGTGCTTCATGCTGCTTTTGTCATATCAAGAACTCATCTTATGTCATTTCTTACACATATCAAATGCACTTTATTACATTTTGGCATCTGCAATTTTGCTATTGGAAGAGAAATGATTACTGGCTGTAGTGTTCAAGCTGACACATTTGATGGAAGCAGACAATTCTTCGTTGTTTGTTTCCTAGTTTAACACTTAATGTAACATGTATTCTTATCGATGTGACATCAGTATAATATAAAAAGTATCAAACTTCAATATAATAATTGGAAACGGCCAACGCTTTCAACTATTGGGTGAGGTGTACTGTGGGCAACCACCACCTAATTTCTTGCAAAGTCATTGTTGCCGAAGTTTATAGTAACACATCAGCTTTCCTTATTTTCCAATTCCAATTACGTTAGTCATCTTTCGATGGGTATCACCATATATATTTTTTGTTAACTTAGGCCTCTTCAAGTTTTTGAGTGCCTTGATTTTAATATTTAGAGGAACTTATTGTGTTTGTGTTCGTTCTTAGGAAAAGCATAAATTATGTGGCTTTATGTTATCTCTTGTTGCTTCCATTTACAAATTCTTTAATGGAACTTCTAATTGTAAGATTCTCACCTTCTACTAAATATATGTGAATAATTTAGGAACTAAGGCATGGATTATGAAACGCCCTACCATGATGCTTGTTGTTTTACCCATGGACTGACTTATTGCCCCATTCGGTATGAAATAGGCAGTACATACTGGTCCAAAAGCTAGCCAAGAGGTTGACCAGCCCGTTTCAATTGGTACACAAGAAACATGAGGTGTACTGGTCATGTATCGCTTGATACTATCGAAATTCAGTGGTAGTTACCAATCGGCATCAATTGGTGATGTTACTTGTTAGTGTTTTCAACATCACCAATCGCCAACAAGAAATTTAGATCATGTTAGTGTTTTCAACTCTATTGCTTGTCTTCAAGTGGTTGTGTCATTTTCCATCGTTTGAAATATCTTGCTCAACAAAAACTCCTCCCTTCCCCTTTGCTCCTCGTATTCTCCTTGCTGCATTCTCTCTCAATGCATATGTACATGTGTTTGAATGTGCGATCTGCAAATGTATGCCATACATGAACGTAATGCATATATATTAATTCATATGCATCTGACACAAGCAGATGAAAAAGAAAAAACTTGTTATTCCATTACGATCCTTTGATTACGAATAGGACTAATAGTTCTTTTGTTTATTGCACACAAAAGAGTTTTTTTAATTATAGATATAATTAAGGCCTTCTGGTTGAATTCCCTCTGAAATCTTTTGCATGCCATATTTTTTTAATAAATGAAGGTTATCTAGAACCTTATCACAAATTATGGTCTTATTCTTCTTGAAATATATCATCTGCAGGAGACTACATCCTGCTATATATTTTCTGGCTCTGGCATATAGAACATTAGACCTTGAACATGCAAAAAGGAGCAGGTGGAGCATTACGAATTTTGTGGTACCTTATATTTTTAGCATTACTCGCTGGTGGCAGAAACTCATGTAGTTGGATTCACTTTGGACCTTCAGAAAGAAGCTACTTTATTTATCAGCAGAATTATGCCAGGGGGTACATCAAAGACATGAATTACTACGAAAAAGAGAGATCAATCACTTATTGAGAATTTGAGATACTTATATCATGGTTGGTTTACATTTTGGAAGGACAAATCTTCATCTCCTTGTCAACTTTATCATAATCTGATATCTATGATCCACTACTTATCGCGATGAAGCTAGCAACAATTGCAAAAGGGCAACTGATATTGGACAGATTCAGCTCCAGTATATTTTTGTCATCCATTGATAGTGGCTTTTAGGTATCCTGAAAGATCAGAGAAATATAAATTTTCTGAAGAAATCTTGATTTTCTTGCCTGCTTTTATTCCATAAAAAAAAATCTATGTTCCAATTATTTTTACAGCTATCATCTTATTTTTCTAAATGGTAGAGGGAATTAAGACCCATCATATGTGCTGAGAATTTTTCCTACTGCTTTGTTTTGTGCAGCGTCAGAAGGTTTGAGCATGCCTTTAGAACTCTCGGATTACTAATAGACTAGGAATCAGGAAAGAATTGCTTGGTTATGATGATAATGTGGTTTTTTTGCTTCACATGTGCAGGGACTCTTAAAAGGCTGCCTGTTTTTTCTGTGCAAACTGTTCCATGTTCTAGAGGAATCTTTGTAGAACAAATGCAGGGTCACTTTAGGTTAAGATGCTTAACAAGGTGCCAAGTACCACAATGGCAGGTATGTATTTTTAGTTTTAAAAATCCAATTAAAGTTCTTTTTATTATGGTCTTTGTCTTGATTACTGATTTGTTCATCCAGCAAAAAAATTTTCACCAATTATTTTATCTTTTGTGGGAGTCTGATGATTATTAATTTTCCACATCTGATTTAATTACAAACTGCATAAATATTATTAATGTTTCTTTCAAATGAAATTTAGGAGAAGATTTTTAGCTGCCATTAGATTGGCATCACTGTCTTCATGTTGGTGAGATCCTTTCAAGCTTTCTATCTAGCAGCTCCTTTTTACATTGGTCTTTTTAGACACATCATAAATAGCAGTAGGTAGGTATATTTATCTAGGTTGCTTTATGGTGATGATATGCATAACAATTTGCCAATTGATATTCATGCTTTCAGTGAGGAATTAGGAAAACCTGGGTTGAAAATTTCCTTTATCTTGCACCGGACTATGTGATAAAGTATTCTCACTACTCAAACACAAGTTGCATGCCTTTTTGTGGAACTTCATTGAGGTAATACTCAGAAAAACTGTATTATAATCCAAGATTAAAGTAAGTTACACTAGCTTAAATATTTTCCACTCATTTTACAACTGCTCATTGTCTTGGTCATGAGATCGTATCTGAATTCAAAGTGGCTGTTTTCTGACACCTAACTGTTCGACATAATTTACAACTCATTCATCCGACTGCTAGTTAGTAGCTGCAACTCACCACAGAATTTCATGAGATCATGGAGAATTCCAAAGTATAATCCCCGAGGTTGAGCAAAAATGTGTTTTGAACCTAATTATTTCAACTTTGTTAATACAAAGTGAATGTCGAGATATTCTGAATTAGATGTATATGCTTCTAAATTCAATAATCTTACTCTAATATGACTAGATCTTTCCTCACCAGTGTTGTCAAGGGGGCGATGAGAAGCTTACTTGGGTCCTGAAGTGAGGTGAAGCCTGAGCATCTCAAGGGGTCTCAGGCGAGGCACTTTCAATTCTGCATTGGACCTCCTAGGCGGAGGGACAAGTGATCGTCTCAATTGAGGGGTGCTGGGCAGCAGCCCAGCCTCTGCCTAGGCTGTCGGCTCGAATGCCACCTGGTAACTGACTCAATTATTTAGGGATCTAACATTCTCTTGCCTTCCACAACCAGGTGTCTTTTCTATCCTCTTCTGTCGTTGCTACGCCCACGATATATCCTTCCTGTTGCCTTGTCTTCTCTCTCTTTACCCCCCTCTTTGTCTCCTCTCGGAGACTCTATGTCGGCTATCACGAAAGATAATTCAGGAGATGAATGCTATTGTGTCAAATTGCAGAAGATGATGGTCTTTCATAATAGTTTTGGCATGGGGTGATGTTGATGATGTGTGGTGGACCTGTGTGATTATTGAAGCCACTGGATTGTTATCAGCTTTATTTCTTTTGTTTTATTATTTATTTATGAATTATTTTGATTATTACTTTGTTGATTGAGCGCTCTATTGATGGCTAGACAGATTTTTTTTAATGTTTGCGTATCTTTACATTCGAAACTCATGTTCGATTGAGCGCTCTATCATTACAGGCGGAGGGTTGTCTTGTCTCATGCATGCTGCTTTCTCTTCTTTAGCAACTGTGATTCAACCCTGGGATCAAGTGCCAAGCTAGTATTTATCCGGCGACTTTGATGACACAGAGCTGACCTAAATCTCCGAGAGGAGATGAGCCAAGGTTTGGCGCGGACGGCACGTCGCTTCAAGAGGCACAGCTTTGGGCAGTGTGAGGCCCGAACCTTCGGCCATGTCCACCTCCTTGTCACCGACTCTGCCCCACTCGAAGCACTGGATCAACGTTCCCAGCGCCAGCCCCATCATTCTCGCCGCCAGCCCTTCCCCGGGGCACTTCCTCCTTCCCTTGCCGAACGGCGCCATCCGCTTCCCTTCTCCCTTCCCACCCTCGAACCTCTCCGGCATGAACCTCGCCGGTTCGTCCCACGTCTTGGGGTCCCGGTGCATGGCATACGCGTTCACCAACAGGATCGTGCCCCGCGGGACGTGGAAGCCGCCGACGACGCACTCGTCGGACGACTCGTGCGGCACCAGGAGAGGGCCTGCGGGGTACATCCGGAGCGTCTCGGCGACGACGCAGTGGAGGTAGGGAAGGTTAGGCAGGTCGGACTCGTCGAGCAAGCGCCCGTTGCCAACGCGTGCGTCAATCTCGGCTCGCGTTTTGTCCATTGCATTTGGATGGTTGAGCAGAAGCGACAACGCCCATTCGATTGTACGGGCCGTCGAATCCGTTCCAGCTGATAATAAGATCTTCGGAGAACATTGAAACGGGAAGAATCAGCATCACACCATCATCAAATAGACAAAGCAGCAGCTCAGATTTAGAAGAAGAACTCACTGAAATAAGTGATTTGATGATCTGATCTGAATAGTTCTCAGGATCTGTCTTCTGCAACGAGAGGAGATCACTTATCGTCGTCTTCTCCTCTTTAGCCTCAGTGGTTTGACTCTCGTCGCCGCCCTTGGTCCTCAGCTCATCGATTAGTTGCTGCAGGAACTCGTCCCTCACCCTGTGCAGCCTCATCAACTTTCGCCTGACTCCACCGTAATCGACCCACCTCAGCAGCGGAATGAAGTCAACGACGTTGGACGCGCCGCTCAACGCGAATATTTCCTCCACCGTGACCATAAACCTCTTCGACTCTTCCGACACCACTCCCTCCTCCCCGGAGTACCTCTTCCCCGCGATCGTCCGCATCAGGACGTTCATCGCAAGCTGGAACAACCTCGTCTTGAGCTCCACCTTGGCCAACCCATCGGCTGCGGCGTCGCACGCCCGAAGCAGTTCCCGGGCCATGGAGCGCACCTCGTGGGCGCGAGCGTCGGACGAGGACCGGAGGCGGTGGGAGGAGAGGACCTCGACGGTGGCGACGCGGCGGAAGTGACGCCAGTAGGGGCCATAGTTGGCGAAGTCGAGGGTGGTGTTGTTTTTGTACAAAAGGTATTTCCTAGAGGGGAGGATGGGGCGGTTGGCGAAGGTGATGTCGTGGGTCGTGAAGCACTCGTCGGCGGCGGCTGGGGAGGCGACGACGAGGACGGGACGGCCGCCGAAGCGGAGGAGCAGGACAGGGCCGTGCAGGGCGGTGAGGCGGGCAAGGCAGCGGTGCAGGGGCTTCCTGCAGAGATGCAGGTGGCCTATGAAGGGGAGGGAAGGAGGGCTTGGCGGTAAATTCTTCTTCGTGTTGTTCTTCTTGGCGGAGAAAAGGAGATAGAGCAAGAGGATTAGCACAAGGAAGAGGGTGAAGGAGAAGGATGCTTCCATGGTAAGCAGCAGGATGTGTGTGTGTGTGTGTGTGTGTGTGTGCGGATAGAGGGAAGGGATATAGGTGCCGTTAACACGGCTGGCAACCACAGGGCTAATTAGATGTTAGATCATCTTAGCATTTCAGTCTTTGGATTCAAAAAAAATTTATATTTATCTTTTTATTATTATGAAAGTGAGGCACCATCAACTTTACTTATAGGAGATTATAATATTATTAATTTTAATAATTTTAAAATAATTATTTTAGAGAATATCGTTTTATCATATCACCTCTAGTTGTTCTATTTCCATCATCTTAAAAAGTTTATTGATCTCGCAAATCACAATGGTGTTCAATATGATCGCTTGGTGATGGGATGATACTGAAGAAGGAAAGCTGATGAAGACGGGTATCAACTTATCTATATAATTGACGAAAACAAGATAATATATATGTACCAACAAAGGAGGTAGACGAAGATATTATCGGAGGAAAGCGACATGATAAAATCAATATCTGATTCATAAAATAGATAATTCTACACCTGTTTCCTGATTTGATAAGAATAAATAAAATTAAATATTTTATTTTGATAATTATAAAAATATTAGTATAAATTTTTAAATCTAAAAAATAAAACACTAAGAGGATAACTACGAGGGGACAATATAACACGAGCTAAGAAACAAATTTTCTTCAATCAACTTCGCATCTCGTCGTACGGGGAGAGTTTTTTTATTTGTCGGAGGGAGGTTCCCATGATTCGTGAGGCGAAGGATAAAGTAGGAGGGACATCAAGAGAGAGAATACTTTATGACACGATTGGTGTCGCATCTCCCAATACTTTATTCCTTCTCTCTCTCTTTTCTTATATGCCCATATTGCCCCCAATATAACAAAGCTCCAACACATACGTTTCTGTCATGGATCGGTCCTCCAGCGAAATCGATCAGTGCTACGTCCGCCCGAGAGTCACTGTTCTCTCCATTGATGGGTTCAGACAAAAACAAAAACATAGCGTTCAATGTTTAATAGTTGCACCCATTGAGACTTCCTCAAATATTTAACAAAGGAATTCATATCTAGCAACCAAAAGAGGGATCTGCTCTTCCTTCTCCACCTTCTTCTAAAACTTGTATGCAATGAAAAATTCAAAACGAGTGTGCACCAAGTCATAGCATCTTTTATAACTAAATAAAAATACTGTGATGATGTTAAAAAATATTGTAACTCACTTCTTATCACTCAAAAATCCCTTCTAACTTTGCATGTGAACTGTATTATTGAATCTTTACTATTTATGATAAAGTCTAATAAGGTTTGTTTATTTATTATCGAAAATTATTGCCTTGCCCATATTCTCAAACATGCATTGCATTGTGTAGATATCATTTTGTAACCACTTATTATTGTAATTTGTATCGTGATTCTGAATTCTTGCATAGATCTAACTTTTCTTTTAAGAGAACTCAAGCCTCATGACTGTGAGATTATGATTCAATTGGTGACAACATCAGATGACTGCTTTCATCTGGTATTTTTCGGCATTTCGAAGATGACTTGGAGATTTATAACATATATATGACCTACCTTTAGCATAAACGCAGCATATTTATAGAATAAATATTCTGGTGCTTTATTGACTATTACAATAATTGATGGTACATATAAACTGCTTCCACTTGAATTTGCTATCATCAAGATTAAAAATGGAGATTCTTATGAGTTATTTCAGTTTGAACTTAGAAGATATATTAGAGCATTTGAATCTTTGGCTCTTATTAATGATCACAACCCTAGTATTCTTTCGATTATAAAAGATATTTTATTTGAAGCACATCATGGATATTTCATGATATATCTTTAAAAAGATACATGGTTACTAAAGTGCATAATAGAAAAGCAACATAGTTGTTTTGGTTTATTAATTAAACAAAAGATATGTATAAATTCAATGAATGTAAGAAAAGAATAAGAGATCATAAGTTAACATTGGTTTTGTCGATTGATAAGATATTTTGGGTTGCTATTTTAGACCATCATATTAGAAGTTTTCACTAATTTTACTATAATTGTCTTTAAGTAATTCATTATATACGGTTGAGGAAAAACTCAACAGTTTTGACCCTTCTTCTTTGTCTTGCCAAATTAATCATCGACAATGATTGTTAAGTAATAAGCAACCAACGAATCTCCCTTAATAATAAATTCATATTTAATAATTTTTCTTCTTATCATTTCAATTATATAAGTAATAAATCATGAACCTCATTTAACAATAAATATATACTTTTTAATCCATTTTTCGTGAGCATGGTGTACCAACACAACCAAGAAAAAATTATGATTGTTATTTTCTCTTTCTCAAGTTCAAATATCCAAAGTTTATCAATGGTTTTTTCCTCAACTTTTATATGCATTTTATTTGTCAAGCAATTTTATATTGGTGGTAAAAGATATATCTATTACATATCAACTCACCGCCACAGAGCTTACTAACTAGCCTGTGTCATGCATGCTGCTTTCTGCTTTCTGCTTTGTCTTCTTGATCATCTGTGATTCAACCATGGGATCAAGTGCCAAGCTAGTATTTATCCTGCGACAGATGACACAAAGCTGACCTAAAGCTCCGAGCTGAGATGAGCCAAGCTTGGGCGTGGATGACACGTCGCTTCAAGAGCGACAGCTTTGGGCAGTGAGAGGCCCGACCCTTCGGCCATGTCCACCTCCTTGTCGCCGACTCTGCCCCACTCGAAGCACTGGATCAACGTTCCCAGCGTCAGCCCCATCATTCTCGCTGCCAGCCCTTCCCCGGGGCACTTCCTCCTCCCCATGCCGAACGGCGCCAGCCACTTCCCTTCTCCCTTCCCACCCTCGAACCTCTCCGGCATGAACCTCGCCGGTTCGTCCCACGTCTTGGGGTCCCGGTGCATGGCATAGGCGTTCACCAACAGGATCGTGCCCCGCGGGACGTGGAAGCCGCCGACGACGCACTCGTCGGCCGACTCGTGCGGCACCAGGAGAGGGCCTGCCGGGTACATCCGGAGCGTCTCGGCGACGACGCAGTGGAGGTAGGGAAGGCTAGGCAGGTCGGACTCCTCGAGCAAGCGCCCGTTGCCAACGCGTGCGTCAATCTCGGCTCGCGTTTTGTCCATCGCGTTGGGATGGTTTAGCAGAAGCGACATCGCCCATTCGATTGTATTGGCCGTCGCATCCGTTCCAGCTGATAATAAGCTCTTCGGAGAACATTGAAACGGGAAGAATCAGCATCACACCATCATCAAATAGACAAAGCAGAAGCTCAGATTTAGAAGAACTCACTGAAATAAGTGATTTGATGATCTGATCCGAATAGTTCTCAGGATCTGTCTTCTGCAACGAGAGGAGATCACTTATCGTCGTCTTCTCCTCTTTAGCCTCAGTGGTTTGACTCTCCTCGCCGCCCTTGGTCCTCAGCTCATCGATTAGTTGCTGCAGGAACTCGTCCCTGACCCTGTGCAGCCTCATCAACTTTCGCCTTACTCCACCGTAATCGACCCACCTCAGCAGCGGAATGAAGTCACCGAGGTTGGACGCGCCGCTCAACGCGAATATTTCCTCCACCGTGACCATAAACCTCTTCGACTCTTCCGACACCACTCCCTCCTCACCGTAGTACCTCTTCCCCGCGATCGGCCGCATCAGGACGTTCATCGCAAGCTGGAACAACCTTGACTTGAGCTCCACCTTGGCGAACTCGTCGGCCGCGGCGTTGCACGCCCGGAGCAGTTCCCGGGCCATGGCGCGTACCTCTTTGGCGCGAGCGTCGGATGAGGACTGGAGGCGGTGGGAGGAGAGGACCTCGACGGTGGCGATGCGGCGGAGGTTACGCCAGTAGGGGCCATAGCTGGCGGAGCCGAGGGTGGTGTTGTTTTTGTACAAAAGGTACTTCCTAGAGGGGAGGCTGGGGCGGTTGGCGAAGGTGATGTCGTGGGTGGTGAAGCACTCGTCGGCGGTGGCTGGCGAGTCGACGACAAGGACCGGACGGGCGCCGAAGCGGAGGAGAAGGACAGGGCCGTGCAGGGCGGTGAGGCGGGCAAGACAGCGGTGCAGGGGCTTCCTGCGGAGATGCAGATGGCCTATGAAGGGGAGGGAAGGAGGGCTTGGCGGTAAATTCTTCTTCTTGTTGTTCTTCTTGGCGGAGAAAAGGAGATAGAGCAAGAGGATTAGCACAAGGAAGAGGGTGAAGGAGAAGGATGCTTCCATGGCAAGCAGCAGGATGTGTGTGTGTGTGGATAGAGGGAGGGGAGGGGATAATGCTGTTAACGCGTCTGGCAAGCACAGGGTTAATAGGCCTTGGTTAGACCATCGTAGTATTTCAGTCCTTATATATATATATATTATATATATAACTATAATTATAAAAATAAAATATTAATTATATTTACTTCAATATCTTGACTTTATTGATGAGAAATTCAAAAAATATAAAATTATAAATTTTACTAATGATAAAAATGATCATTTTAGACATTATCGATTTTGATACATTTGGAATCGATTTGGAGATCAGACTTAACTGAGAGCTAACTTATGAAATGGTAAACGTGAGGGCCACCATCAACTCAATACAAATTGAGGAGCGAAGTAATTTGATGAAGTGTTTAAGCTGCATGAAAGAAGTCGACATAGAAGATGAAACTTAGAGTAGAAGAACAAAGCTTTCCTTGGATAGAGGTCAAGGACATAAACTTTTGCAAAGGCAAAAGCGAGATCATATTATTTTATGTGTCCCTTATTTCGATGGAGTAATCTCATCATGCATGATACCAACGACGAAGGGAGCTTCGAGGCACATGCACATTATCTCGGTAAAGTATTTGATGAAGGAACAAAGATTACTCAGCTTGCAAAGATGAAGTTGAAGTTAGAATACATTGGTACGAGACAAGAGGACACGAAGATTGGTACTCTTGAAGAATATGCTATAGTGCTACTATTCGATCTGCCATGAAAGAAGCGGTACGCAATGGAGATTATGCTAGTAAGTTAGAGGCCTAAGATCTAAATATTGGTGTACTAATTTTATCGAAGTCGGTGGACTTTGAGAGCTGCTAGGTGACAGACTATTTTAGAGTTGTGCTACATCTATATGTGACCTGAGAGCAGGTGGACAAAGGTCGATTGTGAAATAAGTGAGCATAATCAGATGTGACAGAGGCCCTGCGATATGTTGGTAGAGGACACTCATGGAGAGATCGTAGTCCAAGTTCATCCCACGGTGATCATAATGTAATGAAAATATTACGGAGGTGATATGGTACAGTGCATCGTGGTGGAACAATTTGAGGCAATGTGATACACACGGGACAAGACTCGCGAGGGACTAGGTCATACAATGGTATGATCAAGAGCAATTGGAAGCTCCACTTCGGTAAACAATCTAACGGTAAGAAGGGCAATGGATTCAAGTGGTGAATGACATAGTACCGCAGAGGCAGGTCTTCCATGCATGCATCAAATATTGTATCAAATGAAAACCTTAGTCATTAGCATATGAAGGCTATGTATCACCGAGGGGAAACTCCGAGTGTAAGTACTTGTGAGTCCCATAGGGGGACTTGATCATACAAAGGTATGATCGGAGCGGTTTGAGAGTTGAACTGCTCTAGAGTTCATACTTACTTAAGAGAGTCCAGTAAGTCAAAAAATAAGGCCGAGTAAGTGAACGTTGCTATAAGGAAACTAAGGAAAATAAAATTGACACGAGCCCTACAACGTGATATCGTAGGCCATGCATGGGAGTTACAATCTATCTTTCCATCAATCAAGGGGAACTGCTCAAAGAATATAGAGATGTTGAGGTAGGTGGTCAAAATGGGTGAGGAAACTACGACAAATCTAAAGGGACTTAGCTACCCAAAACCAAGAGTTCATTAGAGTAGAGGTAGATTCGAAGGAGTGTCACAATGTCACAGAGGCAATGGATAGTGGTGCCATGGGCGTGACAACGACATGGTACTATAGAGGCGAGACTTCTGTGGAGTCATCGATCCCTTACTCTCATTGAGGGAGAGCATTGGTCGTGAAAGGGGCTGAGGAGGTGGAGAATGAAAAGATAAAGTCCAAGTATCGAGACAAGGCTGAAGGGTAGAGGCCAAGAAACTTTATAAGATTGGTGTTAATGAGCTTCGCATCAAGATAGCCAAAAGTGGAGGACTTTGAATCGATGCAAGAGTGCTCGACCAAGGAACGAAGTAGGTAGTATGCGGTACTGTTCCTTAATTACTCAAAGGAGTAAGTGACAAAGATGATAGAGAAAATGGTATATTCTTAAAGGTGATCAAAACTATTAGAGAATTATCCTAAATTGGGGTGAGAACTTCTTGTATTCTAGAAGTTTAATGACAATGAGAAAGTGAATTATACTAGCTAACTCAATGCAATAAATGCAAACACTTTGAATGCTTCAAAATTGTGAGCAAAGAGTAAGTAAATGTTAATAACCAACTCGATGCATGAAGTACAATCCTTGAGGAGACGGGCGAAGTCGAGTAACCTTTGACTTCTCAACTCTTAAAAGAATAGGCGAAATCGAGTACCCTAATTCTCTTATTTATCCAGTAAAGGAGCTCTACACAAGTTCTTCGAAAACACTTAATGGAAGATAATAGTTGTCAAATCTTCACCAATGGTGATTAGTACTATTGGGAGTATACTATCCACTTTATTTCCTAATAGAATGTCAATCGAAAGCAAAAATAATGTGAACCTATTTGAAAGCGACAATTAAGTGGAAGAAGATGATGGATAAATTTTATGAAGGAAGGACCCAAAAACTTCAAAGTTTGCGAGGTGATGCTCGTTAAAGCTCCAACAGGTATCCACATAATTCAAGCGACATAAGGCGTTTAAGAGATTGGCACGTAACAAAGAAGGTTTTTTCTTTTATTTAAAGAATTCATAGGAACCAATAAGGATTAGTACAACTTAGCCGACCACACACTAGAGTTAGATTTATTGGTGAGTTGAAGCAGTATGACAGTTCAAAGTTCGACTACTCAACAACAATATCGAGAGAAGTTGGGAGCTAAGAGACATGTTGTAGCTGAAGTAGAAGATTGAAGACTCAGTAAATGTGAGAAGATGCAACGTCTGCAAAAGGTTTCAACGAGGATATTGAAGGAATAAATGAGGAAGAATGATACGGATAAAGTTATAAACAATGTGTTTAATGTGATGCTTATATATGTTCATACTTTTTGATTTTATTCATGCTTTGCATAGCAAGTAGAAGGCTGGTCATAGGCTTAATAATATCATTTTGGTTGGCTTTGGTGGCCATTTTAGGCTTGTAAATGAAGGTTGTATCATATGGTCATTTATGAGGATTTCGGTCTATAGTATACCATCTTAGACCCTTTGTTGTATGACTGTTCAGAGCTTGCGAAGTCTATGTTTGTAATTTACATTGACTATAAAGTATTTGCTAAAATAGTTGTTTGTTGATCTCGAGTGAAATATTTTCTAACTTATTTTTCATATTGTAGGTTCTAAGGGATTATAGGAAGTTTCGGGGAGGATAACCCTTTGCGGAAAGATACATATGGGAACTGCACGACTTAAACAAAATCAACAAGTCTTTGACAATATAATTGATAACTCAATACTCCATGTCTAAAATTTTGATATGACAAACATAGAATCGACCTCATACATTATAAACCATGTCACAACTATCATAGGTTCCTTAGATTTGATATGACATGGTTTTGATAGGATCAAAAGTAATTGTAATCCACATCAATAAGTATAATGATTCGACTATAAACAACTTAATATTTGACTTAAGCATTAGATGAACTATGTTAAGCACCTAACGTCCTATTATAATTTTTATAAGGTTTGTTACATCCTAAATTAAGAGTCAACATTTCATGACACTTGTCTTAGATAAATATAAAATAAAAATTCAGTTGGCTTCAAATCCACATCCTAGTTGAATAACATATTAACAAATTGATTAACAATGAAGGAACTATTATATTGTTCTTTATAATCTCTATTTAATTTAGACAAATTAAGCTGATTCTCTTTATAGAACTTCATAATAAAAACTAATATTAATAAAGAACTTTTGGTCAACATTATGAAACTTTTGGTTTTACTACTAACATCTATAATAAAAAGCTATTCATGAACTTTCATTTTATAACGCCTAGTGTAACATGATTTCAATTTTCTTCGACTAGCATACTCTTCCAAGATTTTTTAGAATTTCTTCCTATCTCAAAATGCTTATAGAAAATCTAATTTGGATTAGATATTATTATATATCAAAAATAGGCTACTTAATAAAAATAAAGTTAATAAAAAACCATATGACCAACGAAAGATCAATTGAGGCATTTAATCATCATCTTGGCTACTGCTATATCCAACTAGTATTCATTCAATATTGTTATCATACATAATACGTACCAACGACATCTAATGTAGACATCACTAATTTCATCAAAAACCCAGAAAAACTTAATCAAAAGAGGATCAACACATTAATAATTACAAGGATATAAGGTAAAAGACATATATATATCAAAACATATAAAAAAAATCACATTATCAAGTTCCAATTACATAAGACATATGATCATGGAATTTTATGGAGAATTCATCTAAAAATAAATAATAAAAATAATACCATTATTTTCTAAAAAATGATTATAATAAAAATAATAATTTAGTGATTAAGCTAAATAATAAGTTTTGAATTTTTCTCGAAAACTTTTCCAAGATGCTCAAAGAGAATCTCTACTTCATGAATATAACAAGAAAAACTCTAATTTCGATTGAGTTTTCAATCGAAACCCAATTAAATTAGATCATTTATAATATTTTTGAATAGGGTTATAATGTTGTTGATTCAACTGAATTCTTTATAGTGTTTTTTTGGAAAAGATTATAATATTTTTTGTTATTGAACTAAAGACACAGTAACACTATCAACAACACTATAATTCAATCTTAATTAATTAGAATTATTGTAAATATTAGTTATTAATCTTATTACATCATTGAAATTTCAAATGTATTCTTCTTGTTTTGGAACAGAATTATATATATATAAAATAATAATCTCCATGTAAACCTATAAAAAAATATATATTGTAACTGATGAATGGTGATTCAAAATATTAAATAAACTATCTTATCACCCTAATAGAGCTTCAAATAAATATTTTTATTGATTTAGAAATAAGAAAAAAATAAAAACTTAATTTCTATGTCAATTAAATCGGACATATACACTGTCCTTGAATATAATTATAATATTTTTGATGTCTCTATAAAAATTATTATAAATTTATATAAATAGATTATAACTGAATACAAATGTGCTTTACACATTTGGTTCATAAAGGACAACTTCGATAGTAACTCAAGACTTTATACTAAAAGTCACCAAACATAATAAACCCTTCCACGAGAAGGTGTCAACTATGCCAGAGTACTGGTGGGCCCCAGTTCATGCATCGGTCAGATGAACGGAACCCCGTCCGGTACGCGATGAGCGTGCGAGTTATTCCTTTCTCGAAGCCCATGCTTGCGTTTCTTCCAACCCAACTCCATTCTTGCCTCTTTCTTATCTGCCCCTTTTCCCTTCTCTGCAAGTAGTGATAGCCCCACAGGCAAGTGATGGCCCGAGCCGTAACGTCGGCGTGGCCGGACATGCTTGCCGGCGTTATCTTGGAGTCCAGGCGCGTCGTCGCCGCCCACACCCGCCACTTCCTCGCCCTCTCCGTCCTCTTCCTCCTCCCTCTCTCGTCTCTGCTCGTCGCCGCCCCGTCCATTCTCTTCCCCTCCGCCGCCGCCGCCGCCATCTCCTTCTCCTCCTCCCCCTCCCCTGCCCTCCTCCGCTTCCACCACCACCACCGCCGCCCCTCAGCCCCCGGCGTCGTCGCCCTTTACTCCTCCGCGGCCCTCCTTCTCCTACTTTCCGCCTCCGCCGCCGTCTCCAGCAGCGTCCACCGCGGCTTCTATGGCCGCCCTGTCAAGCTCCTGCCGGCCCTCCGATCCCTCCCTGCCCCCCTCGCTCGCCTCCTCCTCACCCTCGCCGCGGCTCTGCTCCCCCTCACCGCCCTCGCCCTCCTCCTCGCCTCCCTTCTCATCCTTTCCCTCAAAGCCCTCGCCGTTCTCCGCCTACCCCCTTCCTTTTCCTCCTTCGCCTACTTGCTCTTCGTCGCCGTCGCCATCCTTAGCCTCATTATTCTCCAACTCAATTGGTCGCTTGCCGGTGTCATCGCAACTTTGGAGTCGTGTTGGGGTTTTGCGCCGCTCCGGCGGAGTGTTGATCTGATAAAAGGGATGAGATTGGCTTCTCTCTGCCTCCATCTCTTCTTTGCGACAGCAATTGGACTCACGCTGTCGGGCTTCAGCTTGGTTAAGTCGGGAAGGCCCGAGGGGGGATGGCGTGAGGTGGTGCCGGTGGTCGCCAGGACTGTGTTTGGGTCGGGAATCACGGCAGTGTTGTTGCTGTGTTGGATGGTGACAGGTGCAGTGTTGTACATGTACTGTAAGGCACTACATGGAGAGCTCGCAGGAGAGATCGCAGAGGAGTTCTCGTCAGAGTATGTATTCCTTCCTTTTGACGAGCACAATGTCCCGCATGTTGTTTCAGTGATTCACCAGTGAACGGGAGAGCTTTTGAACTACACGCTTTGGGAAATTGAGCTGGTTTCCTTTGGTTTTCTAGCTTCAAGGCAGCATCATGGTGGCTGTAAGTATGTTATTGTGTTAAAGATCATCACATGCCCAAACTTAGAACTTCAATGCATACACTGGTAAATCTTGTAAGTCCAACATTGTGAAACAAAGGATTATCTACTTCTGAATCTTGTAAACATTTTAACATCTCAAACTTGTTCTTTGGAAATGCATTGGTCAGATATGAATCGCCTGCATCCCACAGTTGAATGGTTGATGATCATCGATAATATAACTTATCCTGCAACCTTTAGCATGCACAATTTACTTGATTGTAAAAACAAAGTAACTTAAGCTTGTCGTCTCTTCTTTTGAAAGATGCTCTAATCTGGTTTATTTACCAAAGTGGAAATGCAAGACAACTTCATAATTGTTGATATGGTTGCTTTAATGGTTATATTGCAGCAATATCTCTGAATTTGTATGGTTAATTCTCTGGCTCTTGCTGTACTAAATGTGGAGGGACATTTATTGTGGTTATTTTGTATACACTTTATCAACTTTCACTGTGGAAAACTGTACAATGGTTTGCTTTATAGAACTCTCACCAGGTTGTGTGGTTTTTAGTTATTCATATATTTGGTAGCAGCACCTGTCTGGTTCACAAAATTGTCGGCAGTTTGGAGTCGATTCATTTTATACTACATGAAGTTATATAAATAAAACTTGGTTAAATCCTTTTGTCATGGGAAATATAGAGCAAGTTTAGATTTCTTGTTGTGTCTGGCACAACATTGGCGAGGACACTTCATGTTGAGGGTGTGCATGGGACACTCTTTTGTATATCATTTTAGCTTGTGTCAATTATCACAGACCTTGGACCATACCGTACCATACCAGTTGTGTATACCATTTCAGCATGTTAATGGCACAAACCATTTTGGTTAGATTTAAACCATTGATTAATCAGGTAAATTTAGGAATTTGTGTGTAACATCAACTGGATAGATATGACTAATATTCCTGAGTCAAATGGTTATGTAAAATTTAGAATTAGTTACCTTGAGCATATTTTCTGATGAATGGGATTCTGAGGAGTCTGGAACTTTCGAAGACGATCAGAAAATCTGAACCTGAAGGAAGACTTGGGAGGAGAGGAAGAGGCCAGGCTCAATATAGGCATAAATAATAATGCATTTAGCTTCAAGGAATTGATAGATTTAATCGCCCCTCTAGCAAGTAAGGGAGAAAAACTGGATAAAATAATATCAGCTTTAACTTGTTGCCTTAGTTGAAAGGATAGTTGAATTATATAATTGCAAGAAAATTTCTGTTTCCCAAAGGTTAAGTGATGAAGACAGGATTTGATCCGTAGATCGGTCTCCATCAAAACTCAAGATATTTAATTGGCTCATATGTTTTACAAATTGATCGGATGAGGATTTAAACCGTCAACGTTTGGTAATTAGGTCTTATACACCATCATAATACCAATATTTTAGTGATAAAAATTTGTTGAATGAGGTTTTGGGCTCTCAAATGTATAAATTTATTGGAGGAGATTTCAACATGTGGTAGATAGGTCTCGTACACCATCACTAGATCGATATTCTAGATATAAATAAATAGTTTCAAATCTTTTGTAAGTGTTAAAGATCTTTTCTTTAAATGTTGTAATGATCGGTTAAGAACTATCAATTACATTGTCTATCTTGTGAAATATTTGGTTGGTATGGGATTATGCTTTTTCTTAATGTCACTGTTTCTCTGATGATACTTCAAGAACAAGTTGTAAATCTTTTACATGGTCGATGGTACAGCTCAGAGATTTGTGATTTTTTATGCTGTAATTAGGTTTTTGTTTATGATCTCAAAAGCAACTTCATATTCTGATCACTCAATTTCTTTATTGATAAAAATAGATCTGTCTATAAACTTCCTGGAATGTACCTCAGGCCAAGTGAGCTGTCTGAGAAGGGGACTAAGCAGAGAAGCATGCATCATGCATGGCTGTGCTTGTTGACTCTTTTTGGTGCTTTCTATACCTCTTTGCAACTGAAAGGCGAACAAATTAGTTCTGCAACAGTGTTTCCTTATCTCTCTGACACTGACAATGATTGAAGTGTTCTGTCTAAATTAGAATATCTTCTGCTTGATGCAAATCGTGGTTCCATTTGATAGGGTTTGGATGTCTTCAGGCACATGTTTGTGAGAGTAGCCATTAAGAACAGGAGCTTCCTGTTTTGACGCGAGGATGTTTCAACTTGGAAGTGTCGTAGAGAATGTGTAACATATTTCCTTGTTATCTTCTTTGTTTGTGAGCCTCGCGCAGTACTCGTACGACACGAGGAGAACGCAAGATTTCACATAAACCAAGCCAGAAGAACTCCATACACAGAGCAACGAGAAAAACTATGAAGAACTCACAGATCACTGAAATGTTGTAACCTAAATAACGTTGAAACTAAAGCATCCTCCATTTGTGATTCTTTTCCGGTTGCAATTTGGATTGTGACGCGAAGGAAAGAGGAGAGGACGCACGAAGCAGGCACTACTGCTCGAACTGAGAACATACTCCGAGCTCGGTGGTGAAGAGGGTTCGGGCCGGCGGGCACGCACGAGCCACTTCTCGACACCAAATCTTGGACCGGCTGATACCCGAGCTGAGATGGCCGCAGAACAGGGGGCGGTGACGGAGGGCACCGACGAGGAGGAAGAACCCACGACTCGGTCGCGATGGCAGTGGTGGTCGCAAAAGTAAGGCTAAGAACTCTTTACGATTATTTTTCTAACTTTATGCCTGTAAAAATAAAAGTATATAAAATGATAGCTATATAAGTTTGCCATTGCTCTACTTGATTTTAGAGAGAGGGATCTCTCTCTATCTTACCATCGACTGGATATTTTCCTTCATAATTATTTATCTATTAAAAATTAGATTTTTAAGATACTTTCTTTTATAATATAATAATTAATATATTTTTGTTGAGAAGGTTTGTGTTTTCTCAGGATCGAATACCATCTAAGATTCGTATACCCTATTTAATATACGATGAATTCTTAAAAAAAATATTTTTAAAAATTTGTGAGAATGTATTCTTACTTTGAAAAATTCTAAAGTATCGCTCCCTTTTTTAAATAACCATTCTACCCATTTGTTGGTCGTCCTCTCCGCCTCGCTTATACTCAGAGAAAAGGATAATCTTCTACCCATTCATGTAGTCAAAACCCACGAAGCATTGACCACGATGGAAGAATAAATGAAGCTTACGACTAAAACTCCCAAGTAGCAGAGCTAACAGTTCTACCAGTTTAGACTACACATGAATCGAGGGCAACAGCAACTCGAATCTAAACCCTACACGAATAATCAGATATAATAAAAGGATACAACCTTGTATTGGATAAAGAGAGTACGAGAAAAATGAGAAGATGGATTGGACCTTGCCGGATCTCTTGAGGTAAGCGGAGTAGGACTTCACGAACTCATGGGGCGAGACGTCCTTCACGGTCCTGGCCATGGCATTCTCCATGGTCGAGGTCCGTGTAAGGGCGGGTGTCCGCACACGACAAAGCGACGACGACGCGAGGGAATGTTAGGGTTTTCAGGAATGCATGACGCGTCACATTTTATTCTAAGCGACAATAGAAAAATCAAATTACTCGAGTGCTCTCCTTTATATTCCACCTTCTTGGGCTTGAGCTCGAGGCTCGGGCTTGATTAGAAAATGAGGAGGGTAAGAAGGAGAAGAAAAAGGAAAAGGAAGATGAGAGTTGATTCGAATTGATTTATTATACATTAGTGATCTTTCACAATAAAAAAATAAAATAAAATGATAAAAATTAAGATTTATAAAACAAATTTATTGAGTAATTTTTTTAATATAAGTATACAATCCGATAAAAAAAAATTAGAAGGAAATTTATAGATAAAAATACCAAAAATATAATTTAATTAAACATGTGGTTTGATGAGTATTTTATTCGGTTGATTTTTTAACTGAGTCGGAGACGAGTAGACTGCCTCGTTATTTCGGGCCGTTAGTCACGTATCGGGTCTCGACTACATAATGGGACTATTGCGGCGTGCGCCGTCGTGGGTTACTCTCGTCTTTGCTTCGGCTCTCTTTTTAGGGTTTTTGAGCACTTACAGAGTTCGGAGCGGGCACGATTCTTCTGTCTCGCAAGGGATTCACACTGCAGAGGATGTGCGGAATTGCTCTCATTCTTTCGGGAGTTGATGTCGTGGGTTGTGATCTCTATAGGGAATCCGACGGACCTCCATCGACCGACGCGGAAGAGGTGAAGAACTACCCCTTCTCTTTCTCTCATGAAATCCATTTTTCTCTTCCTCTGAATCTGGCCTCTTTTACGTTTTTCCATCAAACTTGTCTCGGCTGTGCGAAGATATATTTTCATGAATTCGATTAGGCGGTATATGGAAGGCCTTCTCTTTATATGTATATCTCAAAGTTCCAATCTTGATTGGTTTTATGATGTTATTTGGGGTTTATTAGAAATCATATGATTCTTTCTTCTCACCCCCGAAAGTAATTATTCCGAGAACTATGGATTCGTTTCCTTGTATTCTTTGTTGTAGTTGAAGAAACTGTAGTATGGTAATAAAATACATAAAGCGTGATGAATAAAAGCATACATGAGTAGACCTTGTGTATGCAGGCAGGTCTTTTACATCTTTTGTTTACCTTTTAGCAGCATGTGTTAAGTGAAAAATTATTGAGCAATCTTAAACAACTTTGTTCATAGTAATAATGACAGAAGAACCAAATATTACAGTTCTTCTACGATTCTAGAGAAATTATGGCACAGTAAAAGTTGCATGTATCTCGTCCACACTTTCTGCTAATGCATGCCAAATTTAACCATGGCCACCCTTCAGAATGTGCTAGTGTGCATAGGATTAGCGTGGCTTATTATGCACCTTGGCAATTTGCCCTTGTCTTACGCTCTTTTCCCCAGTCATATCATGTGACTATTATCACCTTAGATGTGATCAGGAGGTTTTAATGGATGATTGGTGTGACGCAAGAAAAGGTAGAGCAAGAAACATTAAAAATTCATATTCAATCTGTATCACCAACTTAGAATAATACAAGAGAAAATTGTATACTTAGGAGCAATTTTATGGAGTGGAATTTGAAATCAGATTGGAGTGGTTTGTATGGGGAGTTGAAGGCAATTGAACATTTGGTGAGTTGTGGTGATTTAAGAGTGATACCATTCAGTTTGATCAAAAGCAATTAGGGGTGTTGGAGGGAATTGATTGATATAGTTGACCTCACGCGGAATACTTATAATTGCTAGTCAAAGAAGTACAGTTAGAAATGGCATGAAGACAATGTTGGCTTATCAAATATCAATTGACTTTCAGATAATTGAGATGCATTGTTTTTCATATTACAATGAGTTGGTTCGAGGTTTACAATTTTATGGGTTTATTTTAATTTAGACTGTGAGGAAACATTCAGCATCTACTTAGTCCTGGCATTCATTGCTTGCTCAACATTCTTTTGTTTCCTAAATCAAGGTTGCCATCTTTGTTAAAAATGCCAAGCTAGGATGATGTCATAAAGAATTCAGAATTGATGACTTCAAATGTTTAACATTCTGTTGTCTTATAAATCAAGTTTGGTAGCTTTTTTCAGAAAAATGCCATAGGTTGATATCAGAATTTTTTTTTTTTACTTTAAATGTTCATGGCAATAAGTTAATTGTGCCCTCTAGATGATCAATTACAACTGTCTTAGTTTTTGCATTTTTGTCAGCCAGCTCTAGTAGTGGGCGATCTCAAAGATGCTATTGGAAGAAGAGGTCCTGATAGCCTTGGTGTTAGAAAGGTTTTTGTTCAGTTAAAACAGACAGACTCTGTTGGGAAAGATGGTAATGTCTTATTTGGAACAAATCGACAATGAACATTCTGTTTGAGTGTTACCTTTTCCACATGCTATCAATATGTTAGGCATCTGCCAATCATATTTTAACTGGGAAGTACTTTGATCTTTCAGATGATAAAGAATATACAGAGGAAGATTTACATATATGTTATGAGGAAAATGCGAACAATAACATCAGTTCAATATTCAAAGTTGCCAATGTACAAGATAATATCATAAACAGATGGATCGCAGAACTATATTTTCTTGGTGCAACGCTGCAGCTTAGGGGTGCAAGTCCTATTTTTCAGCCACTGGTGGATTCTTCTGGAAATATTCTTGTTTATAATGGTGATTTATCTTATCCTTACTTGATAGTCAGATATCTTATACTCTAATCTCTATGAAACTAAATTGTCATGCAGTTTGAGGTTGTTCTAGTTTTTTAGGAAATATATGACGAGAGTGACCTAGTTTGCAATGAGAATGACCTGGGGACTAGGATTTTTCCAGCAAATTCATGAAAAATTTATGAATGGCTTGTATTTTTTAGAAAACTGAAAACCATTTTTTCCTTTTGAAGTTTAAATTCTGGAGGCAAACAACGTACAAGATTATTGTTAGCTAAAATTCTTAGTTGGCTTCTCTTAAATCCGTCCTACTTAATAAGTATCTCTGCTGATTGGCTTCGCCTGTTGATAGATACTTCATGCTTGTAAAAGTAGCAAGGGATCATCACATTAGTGGTAGCTATGGTTGTCATATGATATCCCACCATTAGTCGAGGTTTAACATGTTAGTTAGAAACTTAGGAGTACCAAATAACTGTGACTATGACAATTGATTAATGTCATACTTCCACATTTATCGATATAGTGTCCTCTATTGGAATCTGCATCTAAGTCCTACCATTCCACCCAGAGAATTTTCTTTCAGCAATAACTTATGAGTTTTCTATCCTCATCAGGATTACATTTTATTTACAAACAGAAGGCTTCATGCACTGTGAATCCAACCAAAGCTACACTTTTCATGTATTGTTTCTTGTGAGCTCTTTTAAGTTTTCTATGTTAGCTTTTTCTTAGCTTTCTGTATTGGGTCATCATTGCAAACTTTTTTCTTGTGTAGGTGAAATATTTGGTGGAATTCATGTTAGTGATGATAAGAATGATGCTGAAACTCTTTTGCATGTATTGGAAAGTTGTTGCTACTGCAATGGCAACGAAAATGGAAATGTTTGCTATTGCACTAAACTTGGGGCACAGTTCATTCCTGAAATTATTTCAAAAATAAAGGGGCCATGGGCCCTAATATATTGGCAGGTACCTCAGTGAATTGTTTTACTTTTATTCTATGGACACAATATATTTGGATGCTTCATGTTGTAATTATCAAATGTCTGATGTTGTCATATGTTCAACTCTCAGAAAAAATCGGGAACCTTGTGGTTTGGTCGAGATGCATTTGGAAGACGGAGCCTTCTTGTTCATTGGCCAACAATGGGTGATGCAAGATTTGTTCTTTCTTCTGTATCACCAGCTTTAACTATTGGGAAAATTTCTGGTATATATAACATCTATAAAATAAATTTATGGATTTATATTATGTGTATGGAGGCAAATTTTCTTAAGCAGGAGGATATACTTATAATGTATTAGTTGAAGTGAAGACTTGACATAAACATTGAATACACTGATATCTTCTTTGTTCCAAATTTTTATTGAATTTCTAATCTGTGTTGATGGGTGTGCATCAGCATTTATCTATAACTAGTGTAGTTTTTAACACAAATTGCATTGATCCTGGGTAGATACTGAAGTTGAATGTTCAAGTAGTAACATTTGTTACTGGGAGGAGCTTCCTTGTGGGATATACAGCCTTTGCCTAAAGGCTCCTAATGCAAGTGAGCAGCTTGTAAAGCAAAAACTGGTTGGTGAGATCAGAAAACACAAATGGACTGATCCTTTGTTAAATAGGCTAGTTGAATGGGAAAGAACATGTTTGGATCCAAAAGTAGATCCATTCTTTTCTAACGATCTTCAACTTCAAAGAGATCAACTTGCTTTGTCTTCAAATTCTCCCAAGGGAGTGCACAAGGCAGTTGCAAGAATGGAACTGGAAGAGCACGGATCAGATATTCATAATCATATCCCAGGTCAATTAATGGAAAACTGGGTATTGTGCCATTTGAAGCACCTATTTCTCAACAGGAGGTTTCCTGAACTTCGTTGCTGATGACACAGGAGATGCTCGGCCAGCAGTGAAGGTCCTCAATGCACTAAAAGAATCTGTGATGCGGCGTACTGTGAGCAGGATCTTTCAGGTATGGATTCTTGAAGTTGTATTTATATCAATATTCTTTTTTTTTGTGCAGTGGTTTGGTTCTGTTTCTTTAGGTTTGCATTTGCCTTTCATAATTTGTCTGGCCTATCTTTTGGAAACTTGCAAACATTAGTTTTACTGTTATAAGCTGTGGAATATCATCCCTAAGTTTTTATTCTATACTCTATGCTGGTATGTCTTCTTGCTGAGTTTTTCTGATAGTTTATGAATCTTTCTTTCGTTAAATATAAGAACATTAGATATCTAAAAAAGAACTTGGATTATTCAGTTACAGGTTATTGTGATCCTAAACCTGAATAATACTAGTCATTAGTGATCCTTCAGTGTTGCTGGATGGCTCTTTTTAGGCACCGATCATCTGTATTTAACCTAATTATGGGGATTTGTCTGATTTTTTCTTTGTGAGAAGTCTCCACTGCAAGTCGGTCTTCTGCGTGGCTTGTAGAACCTGTATCTTACTTGGTGATTATGTGGATATTTGAGAACCACAACCCTGCATGAAGACTTTAAAGCACATCATCTACATATTGTGAATTTCTTTATAATTTTTATCTGTTATTATGTCTGTTACTGATAACTATTGGATATGTTATGTTAATGTGTACTTGCAGACACCTCGACATGAAGACGAAATGGATGATCACTCTCCTATAGCTATTCTCTTTTCTGGTGGGCTGGATTCTATGATACTTGCAGCAATATTAGATCAATGCATCGATTCCAAATGTAAGTTCATTTAAAACTTGCTTTAGGAGGATACATATTATGCTATATCCCATTAATCAGATTTTGTCATTATGCCAATGATGTACTTGGGAAATTCAATACCTTAGCCAAAACTTGTCATTTCGTAATATACCAAGAGGTCCACTAGTCTGCAGCCATGTTACCTAGATCATGGTTAGCTATGGAACACTATTGATTCGCTTATGGAGATTGGTGTGGAAATGAGTAGGTGATACATTATCTTTCCTTGTATCATACCCATCCGGATATCAGCTGATATCTGTACTAGATTGAGATTTTAATCCATGGTTTCAGTCATCTGCTGTGTTTTCAAATAGATGTTTTATCTTCTAAATGTTGTTTTAGTCTGTACTCATTCTCCGGATTAGCTTGTACTGATGTCATGTCACAACCATCTCTTTCTTGCTTATTGTCCTCAGTCAGAAACCAAAAGTTGCATGGATGATCCTAAGTATCTACAAAGGAGTCTTTCCTTTTATCTGAAAGGTTATTCAAAAATCCAAATAGCTGGGATCAATTGCAAATGACATTATGGCGTTGATGATAGTGTCAATTACTTTGTATTCATTGATTTTTCTTGTCTTTTATTGTATGTTTATCTTTCCTTGTTATACAACTGAATAATTAGTTGAAGCAGGAGGTTGTAATAAGTTGTTTCTCATATTTTTTTCAGTAAAATTCAATGGTGAATGATGTCATTTGCTTCTGCAGATACAATTGATCTGCTAAATGTTAGTTTCGATGGTCAACTTGCTCCTGACAGAGTTTCTGCTAGAGCTGGGGTAGCTGAACTTCAAACTGTTGCTCCTCATAGAAGGTAATTCTTCACTTTGCCTTATGGTTAAAACTATCATTTTCCACTGGATAAATGTGTATGCCATGCATGCTTCTACTCATGGATTGGATTTCTTTCATAATGCTGTAAATTATATTATTTGTTATTGTCTTTGCTGTGAATTATGCTGCTATTGTTTTCTTGTATGAGAAACTTATTTTAGGGAAAAATTGGATGAGAAGTTTTTTTTGGTTTATTTTAGCCGCCTATACTTATATACTGGAACCAGTCTGAAAAATGCGAAAATATATTTTTGTTTCTTCTTTTGTTTTTGATTCTTTCCAAGTTTATTAACACTACAGCTTGTTGACATCTTTGTGACAGGGAACACCGAGCCAATGTTTCCTTTTAATAATTAGTCAATGTGGCTCAAAATATAAACATGAAATGTAAGAGAGCATTTCTTCTTTTCACCTGTTAAACTCTTGTCATATTTTGTTTTACATATGGCCTTTCCATCTCAAGTTTTATATGAGCACTTTCTTTGCGCTTGATCATTGGCTATCCTAACCTGTCTGCCAAATGGCCAGTTCATGGACCTCATTTTTTTTTAACTTAATTAACTGTTATAAGTAATTCAAAATTTCCAGGCCATGTTGTCCTTCTGGGTACAATTGGATATATCATTAGGATCTTTTGCCAGATGTAGTTCATTTTTTGACTAAGCTGATAAGAAGAGGGAATATGTTTGGAAGAACAAAAATGCTAGACTAGCACTATCCTTAAATGCAAGCACAACATTGCCTTTGAGCATGTGCACAAATTCTGAATATCGTGCAGAGATTGTCATAATTTCTTGGATGTTCCATTTGTATTATTTCTGATCCTTTTGTATGATGAGAATGGCGTTAGATCTAATATGTACAATATCTTCTTTGGTGATAATACAAATTTAATTTAGTTCTTGTTTTGATCATTAATATCTATGAGCAACAGGTGGCGGCTTGTGGAGATTGATGCTGTTTTATCCAATTTGGCATGGGAAGCAAAGCATTTGTTAGCATTGATACAACCTGCAAAGACCTATATGGTAAGCTCTTCCAAAGTCCTGTGTTGGACATAGCTTGGAATTTCTGAGTTGCTGAATGATAATTTTCAACATAACAAAATTCGTTGAAACAAATTAAGTAGTGAAAGATGTCCATCCTATTATTTACTTTCTGGTTCCTGTCTCTTCTTTCTTGTGCAGAAGAATAATTATTCCTTCCCTATTGGCAATTTCCTTTTAATCTAAAATACTTTCATGGTTCATCATCATTACATAGCTGCTGCATCATTTAAACTTTTACTCAAATGCTTATCATAATTTAATAATATTTTATGCTTTTAAATGAATAGATATAGCAGATAAGGTTTATGATGAAGAATTTATTTTCTAGGCACTGTTTTGCAGGGTCTATTGTGGAGGGCAAGACATGTAAAATTCATCTTATGGAGTTTCTGTATTCATGTTTAATGTCCCATAATGAATCATGTCAGAAATTGATTTTTTGGTGATATAATTTGGTATTGTTGCATTAGCCTGATCTGTAGTACCCCTATGTTGGTTTGCTCCAGGATCTGAACATTGGCATAGCATTGTGGTTGGCTGCTGGTGGTGATGGCTGGGTTGATGGGGGTCTTTGTAAATTACATAATAACCACCAGCGGTATAGATATAAGTCAACTTCCCGGATTCTTTTAGTTGGTTCTGGTGCTGATGAGCAATGTGCAGGATATGGCAGGCACAGGACGAAGTATAGGCTTGGAGGGTATGCTTTTTTATGATTAATGATTTTTTCCCTTTTGCAACTCCAGTGAGGAATATAATGTGCATTATTTTGCTACTTGCATTAGTTGAGAAACTAGAATTTTATTTTACTATTACTTATGGATTGTACAGGTTATTTTTCTGGTACTTGCATTTCTATTTGGTACTAATCATTTGGTCATCTTTCTACTTCTGACTTCTATTTCACATTTCAGTTGGGTTTCACTCCATGAGGAAATGAGATTAGATGTGCAGAGAATTTGGAAAAGAAATATGGGTAGAGATGACCGATGCATTTCTGATCATGGCAAGGAGGTATTGTTCTTTTTAACAATAAATATGGATCTCATACTGCATGTTCTCACTTATGCTCTATTTTTCAGGCTAGATTCCCATTTCTTGATGAGGATGTTATTAAAACTTTACTGGATTTCCCTCTATGGGAGATTGCCGAACTTGATAAACCAGCTGGAATAGGTGACAAGAAGATCCTTAGAGAGGTTTGTCCCTCAATCAAACAGTATTATTCATTGACTTGTTGGAGATTTCTCCAGAATTGTCTTGTAATCTTGACCTTGTGGTATGATGGATAAATGAATGACTTTTATTTCTCCATAACTATATATTATATGAGAGCCTGCTGAATATGGTTCCTTTTTCTTGTTTTTAGGTTTCATGGTTGCTTGGATTAAAACAAGCTGCTGAAATGCCAAAGCGGGCTATCCAGGTGCCATTGTTATCTCGATTAGTAATCACCCTTTCTATTAGTTGGTCTTTCCCAGTTAAATATGATGGTTTGAATACCTGATTCAGTTTAATAAGTATCAAGTTTAGTTGAGAGTCAGGAGTGTGACATGTTGGTCCTTTCGGTCTAGGACTGGTTTTATTGCTAGCTTAGCTCAGGCTGAGCACCAATTTTTTGTTTACTTAGTACGGGTATCTTTAGGGTTCAGAGTTTTGTTTTGGCTGTTATTTTGACATGAATTTGTGTCCTGTCTACTTTTCAATTCTTCCAGTTTGGTTCAAGAATTGCAAGAGAATCAAATCGAAAGAACTTTGGAAGCAACCGTGCAGCCAACCAAGCGTCTGCAGGAAGTGTCGAGATTCATCATTCTCTAAGCTAACACCAGTGGGAGCTGAGATTGTCCGAGTCCTATCTCCATCACTAATTCCTTGGGCTAAAGGATATATTAATGGCTTGACTTGTTCTGTCCTTATCGGCAGTTCAGGATATATATTAATGGTAGACTTTTTCTGACCTCTGCATCTCTAATGAATGCATGTATCTCAGTTATTCATGACGGCTGATTGTACCAGAGACCAGCTGTGCGTTGCAAAGTTTAATAAATATCAAGTTTAGTTGAGAGTCAGGAGCGTGACATGTTGGTCCTTTTGGTCTAGGACTGGTTTTATTGCTAGCTTAGCTTAGGCTGAGCACCAATTTTTTGTTACTTAGTACGGGTATCTTTAGGGTTCAGAGTTTTGTTTTGGCTGTTATTTTGACATGAATTTCTGTCCTGTCTCCTTTTCAATTCTTCCAGTTTGGTTCAAGAATTGCAAGAGAATCAAATCGAAAGAACTTTGGAAGCAACCGTGCAGCCAACCAAGCATCTGCAGGAAGTGTCGAGATTCATCATTCTCTAAGCTAACACCAGTTGGAGCTGAGATTGTCCAATTCCTATCTCCATCACTAATTCCTTGGGCTAAAGGATATATTAATGGCTTGACTTGTTCTGTCCTTATCGGCAGTTCAGGATATATATTAATGGTAGACTTTTTCTGACCTCTGCATCTCTAATGAATGCATGTATCTCAGTTATTCATGACGGCTGATTGTACCAGAGACCAGCTGTGCGTTGCAAAGATTGAAGTCAGGTTGAGATCCTTGATGTGGATTTCCAATGCCCCAAACATCCTCGACCCAGTTTAATTTGAGACTTTCCTAATCCATCCACACACACAAAGGGTGAAAGGAAAATTATCCAATTTCATCTTCTATTTATTGTTTTCTTTTGTGCCTTGGGCGATAGAATTGCAATTTGTAAGCTTGCCTCTGCAAAAGGAAAAGGTCAACTTGTGTAAGAGAAAATGCCAGTCAAATTGGTGTATACATCTGGCTGTATCGAACAACTTGTATCAGGCAGAAGTTGACCTGCTTAGGGAGTCTCATACAGTTTACAAACAAAAATAATCGACCTTACAAGGCTTCTCAAGAGTACTCTTCTTTTCTTATCAATTGACTTCATTGTTTTGAATGATTTATATAAGGTGTCAGGTTTTGCTTATCTTCATATGTCCTGAAGCATGAAAGGTCTTTTACAGGTAAAATTTCTCTTTGGTACAACATTTTGACACTTTCAGGCAAAATCTTTTAAACCTCCTCCTTCAACCTATTGGGTTAATCATCTCTGTTGAGACATTTAGGTTGGGTAGTGCAATAGTTTTGAGATTCAAATCCATATATAAGTGTTATGTACTTCATTTTCTTTTGATGTAATGAACTAATATGTTCCGAAAGGTTTAATCTGTTGATCTTTAGTCCATCCCTACGACAGCACTATAGATTTGGAACAAGCTTCCTATTTTGATATTATGAATTATTTCGGTGTCTCCTGTGTTGTCCCTCGGTTCCTTAAATGCTTTATTACTGGTATCTCACGTTTAACTAGCAAAGTGGTTTCTTTTCAAGTGTCGAATTCATGTCTTTTTTTTCTTTCTATTTACACTGATGGGTATACTCTGTTTAAAGAGGTCAGGTAGGCAAATGTATTAAGATACTTTGCAGGTAGTTTTTGTGTTTGAGTTGGTCAATTCTCTAGATGAAGGATCACTCCTTATAGACTAACTAACCATCTAAGTGTTTTTTTGGATCAGTGATCAAAGAGAGAGAGAGGGGTTGCTAAGTAATGTCAACTCACCTCATATAAGAGATCAGACTCAAATTGTCCATCACATGAAACAAGGCACACTTTCTGTCTACATGGTGTACCCTGAGGAAATCTCCATGGATTTAGAGCTGGAGGAGGGAGGTAGCACTCCAGCTCTGCAATCCTCTTATCTACTTGGGAGGATTCTTCATCATGTATTCCCTGTTTTCTTGGCATGGTCATAACCCCAATTTCTTCTCAAGTAATCAAGCAGTATGATCCACTGCACATTGTTCCTCTCACATGGTTCATCAACAGCACTCTTGGGATCCTCGTTGGGATCCAAAGTATTCTTTTCTCATCTACCTAATTTTGCTGCATGTCTTTTCAAAGGCTGCATCCATTAATGTGGTATGTCGACAGCATGGATATTGTCTACATGCACAATAGAGAAAGGAACAACAATAAAATAAAAAAAAGGAAGAGAACATTAAAAAAAGGCAGAAAGTTGCTCCATGATGTGCTAATAATAAAAGACATTATAATATAAATCACCTTCTTTTGCTGTTCCTTCTTTAGCTAGTAAAACAATGACCTTTAATTCAAAATTAATATCCTAAAAACTTGAGATTGAGCCCAATCTAACATTCCAATAGCAGGATATAGGAGGAAAGCGTGGTCCGTAGAATTCTACTGATCCCTCCCTCGCATTGTATCCTTTCTACCATCTTTACTGGCTTCTTGACACAGTTTTTGGTGAGTTCATGTTTCTTGGGTGAGACAAACTCACCTCCATCGGATTCCATACGCTCTGAACAGACAAGGAGAAGAGACGTACGACCACATCCCTCTCACCTTTTGCTTCTTAGAACGTACAAGTCTTCCTGCTTTGTGTAGTTAATTCTTCTCGCTTTGGGTGGCGAGACTTGCCTTTAGGTGGCATTCTACTCCTCCTTTTGGAAAGGTGCCCCTCCCTCCCACACAGGTCAATGCGAGGGTTTCTCACCTTTGGCTCAAGAAAAGTCTTCCCTGTTGCCTTTTACTACGCTCCTTGATACACTCGTCCAAGATGAAGAATGTGTGCTAAGCAGGCAGACTTGTTTGAATGACAAAAAATAATGACCTTTTGGGTCAGAATGATTTGTGTAGAGTTGATATGATTGGCTCAGTTTTGCTTTAGATAGCAGCTTCTTCATGGTGGTTGAGATACAAAAAGCCATTGGAGGGAGAGTTCCTTTTTGACCTTCCATGCCCATGACCTCTCACAAAGCTTCCATGGTGGATGGAGCATTGAGGGCTCATCTACCGCCAGTACACCTTTTTGACCTTCCATGCCATGTATCACTCATGCTGTTCCCTGGTGAGTGCTTTCATGTTTCAGCATCTGACCGAGCTAGAAAATGCCAACCAAATCTCATGTTCATGAGAACGCGATCCGTGTGTCCATACTTAGCAAATAAGAACAATTGATAATCGCAATGATGCATGAGCTAAAAACTAGAGTTTCTCACTTAATTCATGATCTTGCATAGGTCGTAAATTTTTTTTATGAGATAATTGATTCATCAACGATGAAAAATACTTAAACTCGGGTTAGTTAGTGAGGGTAAATCTATTAAGCTATTATAAATCAATTCAAATCTTAAAAAATTAGAATAAATTGAGATTTTATATTTCTCGTCGATAAAATCAAATCCTAACATAATATATCATATGTTGAGTGGTAACTCATGCATTAATATGCATCCGGTTTTATTTATGATAATCCTCTCCTACTCAAATTCTTAGCATGCTTAATACTAAGTATATTCTAATATTATTGATTGATTTGTAAGCATAAAATCTATGATATGTTATATGTAATGCGAAAAACTTTTATATCATGATTGAAATCAAATAACATTAGATCGGATTTACGATGTCATCTGAAAAAGATCTATGTGTGATCTGTAAAGACACTGTCCCTCGGATTCGAATATCATAGTGATGTTGATCTGTAAAGAGAATTAGATACTCATTCTCCTATCTGTCTATCTTTTCACAGGACTACTATTATTGATGGTTTAGGAAGATTAAGAGAGAAATTACGTCCTCTCACATGCGTTATTTAGTCTCTAGATGTACTGTCTATTCATAGACGAGAGCAGAGGATCTAGGATAGGTTATTGTGAGAGTTTCTCCCATCAAAAATATCCCCTAAGAAATTTACTATAATATGGATTTCTTTTCTATTGGTCTTATCAAAATTTAATTAGTTATATTATATATCTTATTCAATTATAAATGATCACATAATATAACACGATTAACTTAATCAGCTTCAATCGTTCAACCAAAATACTTAAGTTCAGCTTACTGAGATGTTACACTATCACTTTAATATTTATAAGATTAGGAGTTTCCAAGCTGGAAACTTACACTTAAAGAAATATTTTACTTAAATTATACATTAAAAAAATCACATAAAAGAACCCTACAAACATAAATGTATCCCAAGCATCTATTGTGTCATGGAATATTCATCAACGATAGAGGTATCTAGAAACTTTGACACCGAAGGATCGTATGCTTCAGAAGTGGAAGCACCCCACTAGGCAAAAGTTCACACGAAATCAGTAGCTTCATCAACCCCCCAAATTGTATGCCATTAAATAATCTCCATGAATATTTTCAACAGTGACTCCCATTTCACACTCGGAACACATCGTAAGCTAAAGTGATGCTGCAGGTAGTCGTATTCTAATCTCCATCAAGTCTGCATGTTAGGAGGTGCAGTTAGGTGTGATCAAGGCATGTTTGCTTCTTTGCGGAGAGACTCAAGCGCTTTCCTAAGCATGCATGCATGGACTCGGTCAATCTCGATAGATTTGATATCTGTTAAACAAAGGCCATACGTTGAAAGCTTTGCAAAAGGTGGCGAACACGGTAACCGAGTACGGCAGCAGCTTCGTCCTCTCGTCAGCATCACATCACACACGGAGTATTTTGCTCTCCGGGTTTCGTTCTATAAAGCTCGGCCTTGCCTTTCTTCTTTGTTCTCCACCCCAAGCATAGAGGTCGAGGGATAGAGAAAGATGGGGAGGGCTCCCTGTTGTGACAAGGCGACCGTGAAGAGGGGGCCATGGTCCCCTGAGGAGGATGCAACGCTCAAGGCTTATATCGAGAAGCATGGAACTGGTGGCAATTGGATTGCGCTGCCTCACAAGATTGGTATGTCCTCAAACTACTCGATCGCTTCATCTCCTTCTCGAATCCAGCTTCTTGCAGAGGAGATCCTTGACCTTGTGTTTCAGAAAACCAAAAAGCGGTCCTCAACCCAAGATCTTGTTCCTTCTCAGCGCTGCGATTTCTTCCTATAACTAGCTATAAGAGAGTGATTGAGATCAGATGCAGGCATTTTACCACTATGTCTTGTTTCTGAATTCAAGTATGGTATAGAAAAGGGAGAGAAAACAATCTGGATAGATCATCCTTCTACCAGAACATATTTACATGTGGCATGCAAAATGAAGATCTTCAACTCTTCTGTCAGGAAGTAGACGAGAGAGCTAAGTTTAATATTTCTCTTGTTATCGTTTCAGGTCTGAAGAGGTGTGGAAAGAGCTGCAGGTTGAGATGGCTCAATTATCTGCGGCCCAACATCAAGCATGGTGGCTTTTCGGTAGAAGAAGACCATATCATATGTAGCCTCTACTCAAGCATCGGGAGCAGGTAAATCATCCGGATACCTTTTCCTGCTCTCCCTTTGCATGCCCATCATGTACATGAGGATAACACCAACTAAGCTTTCATGCATTAGGTGGTCTATAATTGCAGCCCAGCTGCCAGGGAGAACAGATAATGACATCAAGAATCATTGGAACACAAGGCTGAAGAAGAAACTACTTGGCAAGCCAAGAGAACCACCACAACCTCGATGCCTTTCTGTAAACCAGGTCTCGACTGAGGTAGCTAATGCGATGAGTCTCCAAACTCATCCACAAACCCTAAGTGCGCCAGCTCTGGAAAGGATGCAACTCCGGGGCTGCGAGGATCCCTTCTTCTATCATCATCCGCTGGGCGACAAACTCTTTGAAGACCAACACACCGATACTAGTACGTCTACAACTCCGATCGATTCATCTCATCGAAGACTGCTGCAAGTGAAGCAGGAAATCCAAATCTTGCTGAACCAAACTGTACAGGAAAATATGGATTGTTCAGTGCCGGGGTGTCCGCCGTCAGATGCGGGAGGTCTCGCGGAGAGTTCATTCTCAGACTGCAACTCGCTGGTGGCAGGGCTTTCCGACCTCCATGAAATCTTCCATGGCAAAGAACCATTCTTAGGATTGCAGGAAGCGAATCAATCGACCGAATCAGACTGTTTCAAGGAAATGTATAGGGAGAAGGAGAGAGACGGTATGAGCTTGTGGTCAAGCATGGCTTCATCTCTCCATCCCGATTCCGTGCTTCAAGAGTATCTACTTGGGTATGATCTCTAGTGGTTGCAGTGTCCGGATTATGGTTTTTAGGTAAATTAGATGTTGGTTTTACATGAACAGACCGAGACATGTTGGTGTAAATTTGTTCCTTTGAGTAGTCATCGGTTCTCGATCTTACTATCTCCTCATTATAACGATATATTTTCTATATTTTATATTTTATGCAACGCTAAGAATGTTTATTGATAGGTCACATAGTGGTATTTTGCATTTTTCTTCATTTGGATTCCTCCCCTCTTTCACATTTTGATTTGGTAAGTAAATATTTTGGACCAAAGATTTAGAAATATTTAAAATTTAAATTATGAATTTTTATTTCTAAATATTTTTTAATTAAAAATATAAAAAAAATTAACGGCTCTAATTAAACCGAAACCAAAACCAACGATTCTGGTTTTGATTCGACCTAATTCGATTAAATCTTAGTTCCTAACTTCAGGAAACAAAAATCATCAAATTTTAAAATCGGGACGAATATTAATACGAGATCAAATGACTTCTGGTTTTGCTCGTATTATTTCTCACATTTATCCAAATTTAATCAGTTATTTAACCCATAAAGTTTTGGTTCGTTGGATCAGATGGGATCAAAATTTAATCAAATATTTAATAAAATTTACTTAAAATGATATTACATTTTATTTTTATTTTTTGATTTTTTTTTCAATGAATTCCAATACAATTTCTCTTTTTAGTTTTTTATTTTTCCATTGAGAGGTTATGTTTGGGTTATTTCTCCTATAGTTCCCCTAATTTCTTTTGTTTTTCCTCCTTTCCCTCTCATCCATTGGAACCAATTTATTGGATCGGTCTAAAACTTAAAATAAAATATAAATCATATGATTGATTGTAGAAAATAATATATAATATTTTATGCATTTTCAAAGATAATAAAATTATCAAACAAGCCATTAAATATTAATACTAATTAAATCAAATGTCATTATAATTAAATGTAAGATAATAAAATTACCAAGATTCTTTTTTACACAAAATAATAAAATATTATTCTCATCAAAATAATTAAACCTAAGACATTAAGCTTCCAAAAATTCCAAAACAATCAAATCTCTATTTAGAACTAATTTTCAAGAGTTTCAAACTAGAAACTTTTTGAATTTAAGTGACCTGAGTTATATTGTTTTTGGATGAGTTTACAATGTTTTCAAAATCAATGTATCCTAATTTTTGGCCCATTTAATCTGAATTTAGAATTTTTTACATATAATCACATCACTATAGTAGTAAATATTTTCAAATGAATTAGGATGAAAATAAAAGGTCGATCCAAGTTACAGTGATCTTATATATGGTCATACTATTTTTGACTTTCTATTTATGTACATTGTAACTTCATCAATATAACTTGAGATTGATCATCATCCTCTAAAGTCATCTTCGGTTCTCTCTTTTTGATCTAAAATCCTCATATGTTTGGCTCCTCCTTTTTTTTGTTTAACAACATAAAGATAACCTTCTAGATAGGTATTTATAAATTATGTTTCATGACAAATCCTTTTCTATATGAAAGTTCTAATTCCTCTCTCTCTCTCTCTCTCTCTCTCTCTCTCTCTCTCTCTCTCTCTCTCTCTCTCTCTCTCTCTCTGTTTTCTTTATAAATAAATCCTATATATTTTATAATTATATTGAGATCCACAAGTAAGTTACTAGATATCACATTTTTAATGATCTATTTCTAAGATAGAAATTATTAAGATTGATAAGTATTTTAGGAATTCTAATTAGATTCTGACTCCATCTTCAGATTCATGATTCAAGTAGAAAGATGAGTCTTTAGTGAAGGATTTGTTCATATAAATATAAGTATATATGAATTTTAAAGTTTTGATTAGAGTGAAAGTTAGTTATAGAAAAAAATATTTTAGGTGCTTTTGGAGTTTTAACTAATAAGATCTAAAAGGGTTGAGAGAGAGTGATTCCTTATATTGGTTCTTCTCATATAATAGAAAATTTGATTTTCCTCATGTTCTCTCCCTTAACCATGTGTCTTTTTATGGTATCTTATTCATTTGATCCTTCATTTTTAATGATGTCTCTTTCTAATATAAAAATAAAAAAAAATCTAATTTAATTTATTTTCCAACAATCTCTGACCAACATACATCAACTGTAATGCTTGCTGCTTGCATTGGTAACACTGACTTGGTGATCCTCTGACTCAATGTATCTCCTCTTGTAACTTTCAGAGAACCATACTCCATTTTCCTCCTCCTAAGTCGCTTTCAGAGTCCCTACCTCTCACTTCCAGGGTGAGAAAGCAGGTGGGTTCCCAGTCTCTATCCCAATAATGGAGGTCATGCTACTCTCCATCATCAGGTTCTGCTCTCACCATTCTTTACTTTATTTCAACATCATCTTGCAATATAAATTTGTGATCAATTAGGATAGAGTAAAATCAAACTCTTCTTGCTCTTATCTTTGATCCATCTATTTGCACCAATAATGACTCCAGTTGGTCCCCATGCCTTTTATAATCAAGTGTTCATCCGCCAAACCCTTCCCAGTTAGAAGTATGAGACTCTTAGTGATTCTTTTAGTAGACTAATTCTCTTCGAAAAATATTATATTAAACTACAGTACTCAATGGTCAAAAGAGCCTTCTATGACAAAACACACACACACACACACACACACACACACACATCTATTGGTAACACTGAAGAGAGTAGATTCGCATGGCCACCTGAGAAAATGCAGTAATCATGATGGGTACGAATCTTTCAGTGGAGAAGTGGGCACAAATCGGGTGGCTAATGTAAGGTTGAGATTGAAGAATGAGCTTTCCACTTTCCACGAGATAAGGAATGGGCACAAATCTTAGTCGCATGGCCAACACCCTTTCAAGAAATAATGAACACGAGAAACCTCCCATGAACAGCTCTCTCTACAAAAGAGCACAATGGAACAGCGTAAACCTTGTCGTCTTTCACGCAGCCGCGTCCCGCCCACGGCCCTACCCACCCTCGCCACTCACTGCACACTCCCTTATCTGCTTCTCATTTCTTTCCTTATTCCCTACTTATGATACAAAATGATACGAGTGCATGTAATACAGTAATCACATGAAACATGGATACCGCAAACGGCTAACTAATTAACCCGTTACCTTCAGACAATAGTAGAAAACCCACCTCATACATCCAAGTTTTGGTGGTGTCGTGTAGTATTTCCCCAATCCACTGACAGTCCTCAGCAGTCTCCTACTCCCTTTTCTCATCGTCTTCGTCCTCATTCTTACTGGACCGGCCGCCAAACGAGGAAGCCCCGCTCGGGATGGGCGTCGCGAGGTACGTCGGCTTCTCGTCCCCGGCCATGACCACCACGATCTCCTGCTTGTAGAACGTCGCCGGCGTCGCCGTCGCCGGTTCCAGATTAGCCCCCGGTTCCGCTCCGCCGCGGTCGAAGTGTCCTGACAGCTTCCAGTAGGCGCAAGCGAGGAGGATGAGCGCGACACCCACAAGGCCCAGCATGGCCACCAGTCCCCCGAACAGGTACAGCAACGGCGCCGCATCCGACCCTGAGCGGCCGCCACCCGCTACCGCCGCCGGCACCGCCACTGCTGCAGCATTGAACCCTGACTCTGCCCTCATCTTCCTCTTCCTCACAGGCAAGCTTCGTGGCCTCTCCTTACTCTCAAGAACCCACCGAAAGAAAGGGGTGGTGGTATATTCATACAGAAGATGAAAGGGCAGAATTGTAATTATATTACGAGTGACAAGTTGGTAACTTTACTTTGGCTCTTTAGAGAGCTCAACTATTATTCCATAGCGCTCTAACTGTGAGATATAAGTGGAGAGATGTAATCAAAGAGTGGGGTGAGGACCCCCCTATATTGTCATTTTGTGGGGGAGGGGAATTGGAATTGGAATTGGAATTGGGAGATAAAGGTACTGATCTCTCTCTCTCTCTTTCTCTCTCTCTCTCTCTCTCAATCATGATCTTTCAATAAAAAAAACATATACGATGTTTGAATCATGATTCAATAAATAAAATCATGATCTTTCAAAAAAAGAAAGGATTAATATTTGTGAGATCTAATCCATTATAGAAATTCATATCTGCTTGGAAATATATATATAAATGATGACTAACTCAATTCTTATGAAATCATGAATCAGATCATCAGAGGCTAATTCAACCTTAACTCAACAAAAGGAAACAAGGGTAACTAAATCATCTATGAGAAAGAAAGGATCACATTTTCTTCAGATAAGAAATGCATGATTCCTAATGATTAATGTATCGCTATAAATAAAAGAACATATGCATGTATCTTTACATCTGTACAGCCATACAATAGAAAGCAAAGAGAACTGCACCTAATCATCGTCTGAAGTAATTACCACAGAGTCGAACAACTTCACCAGCAATTCACATAATAAAATCACACAATTCAGTATGAGCATACAATTCGACAAGCTAAGAATGCAGGAACAAAGAAAGGTAGTTTACCTAAATACATTTGGCGGGGCACTCCTCAGTATATACACTGACTGACACCACAACATACTTGACAGACAAGCATAGCATATCGATTTCAAGGTTAAAAGGGAAAATGAGATACTGAGAGTATGAGTTGTCCTGGTCATGGTAAGACACTGGCCAAGAATCCTTTTCAATCTGTAGACTTATATAGAGTCAGTCCATAGATAATCAACACTGTATTTCTTTCATGAAGACACATGATAAAAGGAATGGTTCCACATCTTATCACCGATGTTTCCCAGAAGTTCCCAATGCAACACAAGCCACCATCACATGTAAGAACAAAAACAGATTTAACACCCTGCTTGACTCCATTTTGACTTTCCACCATGCTGCTTATGTTCCAAAAGTGAAATTCTAGGTTTGTTTTGTCAATATAGCCCACAGCACAATTAATTTCATGAAATGTCATTAATCATACACATATCAAAGTTAAACTGATATAATTTGGTGGGATGTTGTGGTGGGCCTACTGCACCATGTGTTCGCATGTGGTGTGTACTACTCCTAAGTAGATAGGTGAAACTAAACCAATCCAGGTAACATGGACATCCTATGGGGAAGAAAAAGCAGTAATAATTTTCCCATTATATTATGAGTTCATCATATGTGTCCTCGTCAACAGAAAGAACTTCAATGGCCATCAGTGGATGTAAGAGATGAGCAACGACATGAAGCAACCGTGCATGGCAAGGTCCAAATTCCAAAAGAAGTGATTGCAAGAGGTTTGCCTTGTTTATGGCCAGGATATATTGGCTGGTGCATGACAAGGTGATAAATCAGATCATGGTCTCCATTTTTCTTCTCTTTCAACTTCAACCATCAACCGCACAGGAAGCATCAACACTTCAAAATACTCAGATTCAAAAATTTTCTTCTTCTCTATCTGTTCCTCTTCTTCCGCTGCCTCCCCACCACTTCACCCCTTCTTCTCCTCCAGATATTATAATTACATCTGATTGGAAATCCAAAACCGACACAAATCATCAAAAGGATGGTCTAATATAAGGAAGGTGCTAGTTATTTTTTACTGATAAAAGACTTTGTCAGGTCCTGGGATCAAAAACATCTTCATCCCTCTCTCTCTCTCTCTCTCTCTCTACAAACAAAAAAAAAGGAACACAAGAAGCTTCCACCAATGCAAGGTTTAAGAGGATCAATAATTAAACTTCTGCAAGTACAGAGGTTGTTTTTATATCTGAAACTTGATCCCATAATCTGCAAAGGAGCAAATTTATCATGATGCTAAAATTTGCCCTAATTTGTTGCAATTATTGATGGGGATAATATGAAAAATGACAATCGAGTTAGCCAATCAGTGGATGAACACATTTATAGAGTCATCCTAATCAAACAGAAAATACTCCAAGATCAGGTGATCCAAAGATTCTAATGGACCATTGCCTCAGATGCTGGTAAAAGAAAAAGGAAAAAGGAAAAAAAACTAAAAACCATTATATACATCACAATTATGGAGTTTATGGATAAGATTTGGAATTATATAACAATAAGATTTTGCGAAGACAAGAACAACAAAAGCATAAAACACTAACAAGAGCAGAACATTAAACAGGATCTCGACAAAAAAGCATTAGCAAGAAACTTATACACACTGGTGGCCGTCTTTGATAGCAGGCACTTGCAGTGTCACTTTGAGATCAGCCTCTGCAACTGCATTACGGACACCCTTTTGTCTGTAGAAGGTACAAAAAAGTACAACCACCTTAGCATCTCAGTACACTACATCTCATTAATTAACCCAATAGGTGCATCGTTAACAATCAGAATTTGCACAAAAACAACATGAGGAAGTCAGAAATATGAAACCAGTTCAAAACTATTTTGCAGAAGATCCACATAAATAAGAAGAATGGATGGTACCAGATGGCGCAGAAACCATCTCAGTGTGGCAGCTGATGCTTCTGTGGGTTCTGATTTCTGAAAAAACATAAAGTAAGAGAATATACATAGAAATCGTCGAATAAAAATTAGAACATAAACACAAGAAAGGTTTTAAAAAAAAGTTTACTAAATTGAAGCATGCTCTTGCTGTTAAAATGATCCCTCAATTAAGGAACCATATCTAGATTATGTGCTGACAAACACTTTTTGCATTGCCATTATAAGATGATAGATTGTGTCATCAATGTGGATAAGTTATTCTATGATCTATCACACATGACAAGATGTTCTTGAGTACAGACAGGGTAGCCGCACTAATTTCATTTGAAATGCTGCAGATAATTGTTGTGACTCTCTCTCTCTCGATGGAAATCATTCTATCGTTTTTTTCTCGAAACTCTTACTGTAGCCGAATGTTCCAAAACACATCCCAACAACAACATGGAAGCGGCACACTTGATCTCATCACAAAGGGTAAAGAAGAACAAGGAAACAACCTTTTCGAACATTCAGCGCTATATAGAATTCTAAACGCACAAGCATGAAGATCAAATTTTGAGCGCGGATAACGGAAGGAAACAAGAAAAATATCAAACCTGTGGTGGGAGGAGAGCAGGCGGCAGATGACGGCGGCAAATCGGGAGGCGGCACGTCGAGGATAGGGGCGTACATGTAGCAATCGGACGCGAGGTAATCCGCCACGGCCTTGACGAATCCCCTGCTCCTCCGCCGCTTCGTCGGCCTCCTTCGGACTCTAATCTGCACGTCCGTCTCCATTCCTTCCTCTTCACCGAACTACTCTAAAACCCTAGATTGGAATCGCGTCTTTCCTTGCTCGAGGAATCCGGAAGAAGAGACGTGGCGAAGGTTTCGCATTCTACGAGCGACACGCGGGGTCGAATTGGCCGGCGGGGGGAAAACGGGTCGGATTCTGAGGAACACATCCGTATCCACTTTTTTAGCTGCAGATCCAGATACGGGTGCGAATACGGATACGGATAACAGGCGGAAATTGAATTATGATTACACGACGGATATCGCATAAGGTGAATATTTAAATTTTTATATCATTTTTATATAAAAATATGTGAATCTAAATTAGATATTGATGCAATATATGACGAATATAAATTTTATTAATTTTCTTTAACTCACATTCTTTGGGTTAAATTATTTTGATCTTATTAAAAGAAAATTGGTTTTATCGTATCTATCCTTTTCAAGTTTGGAAAAAGCATATTTACTTTTTTAAATTTTATTATTATATTATATATATATTATATTATATATATATTATCAACCTTGTACAAATCTAATTTAAGATATTAAAAGAGAGAAAAAAAAAGGGAGAAAGATCCAATGACATGAGAATATCACCATTCCAGGAAGAGAGAGAGAGAGAGAGAGAGAGAGAGAGAGAGAGAGAGCATCTCACATACACACGGATATACTTTCACATTTAAGTAACGCTGCAAAGTCTAAAGGCGTCTCATGTGCCCATTGATGATCCTTTTAATGCACGCCTATTTGTGATAGAGAATTTATAAGTCATTTAATTCTTTTGTATTAAGTATTAAATTTCATTTTTTTGTTTTCCCATTTTGTTTTCTATATATAAATTTCAAAATAGTTTGCACTCGGTAGAGCTTTTTTTTTCGTTTTTAGGGAAATTTTTGCTCTCTATGTATCTTAAAATCTCAATTGATTTGAAACCTCCAACACGAATCTATATGAAACAACACAAAAGATACACTATTAGGTGTCAATTCTCCATATAAATCGGTCAAATATACAACGTAGAAGAGAGAGACGATGTGCTGTTCTCCTCTCGAACACTCTTGAGAACTCCGTCTCTAAGAAAAAGACAGAAGAGAAAGAGAAGAACAAACAGATGACACACCACCTCAACAGACCATGAATGGCAGAGCTATGCAAAATCATTCTTCTTCTTCTTCTTCTTCTTCTTATTCTTCTTCTTCATCTTCTTCTCCTGCTGCTGCTTGATGCTTTCTTTTCCTTCATCTGTTATGCAAGGGGTTGGGGCCGGTTGGTACGAGTCGCTTGTCGTCGTCGACCGAGCTCCCGTTCTTGCACGCCTGCGTGAGATAGCCGCAAACTAGATCGAGATTCTGGAACCTGCACCCACGGCGGTGGATGGTGGCAACGCCGGCAGCCAACTCCTCCACCGATGCCTTCTCATCTGCCTTGTGACGGTGGTGACTGTGCTTCCGGCTGACACTTCGAGCCAACCCATGCGAGCCGGCGACGAACAAGATGAACCAGGCGACCAGGGCTACTCGAGCCCATCTCTTCTCCATGCCTACCGGAAGAGTCTCTCAGATTTAAAGGAGCTGAAGCAAGAGGCCAAAGGATAAAGAATATATTAACTGAGGTTCCTCGGATCTACAGTTGTCTATGACACACCCACATCTCTCGACCTCTGCGTCGCACCAAACCACGCATTAATGTATCATCACATCTCTTGCGGTCAGTGAAGCGAGCCACAGGGTGAGAGAGAGAGAGAGAAGATAACAAGATAAGAGAGAGAGAAAGAGAGTGTCTTATAAAATAGAAATCAACGTACCATGATCTGACCACATCACATAAAAGATGGACAAAATGGGAAAAAAGCTAATGATAGCTAGGACGATCACCAAGAAGAAGAAGAAGAAGAAGAAGAAGAGAGAGAGAGAGAGAGGATACAGTTTAGTTATTTGGTCTTATTTCTACTTATATGGAGGGGACTGTTTGCAGTAAGAAAACATCAACACTTCCGACTAGCACTGAGACTTCCATCACCGTTCCCATTTTGCTTCTCTTGCTATGTTGAACATTGTATCCACTACATGTGTCCAACCTATTCCTCTAAGATCTTATTTAGTAACTATGACATCTATGTATTTTTGTTTCTAACAATGATGTTTTGTTGAATCCACTCTTTTTTGTCACTATAGAGTACAAACAGATAAATTTTGAGATGATATATGATCAACATCATTCAACTATAATAAAACTAAAGAACTAGGGGTGTTCAAATAGAATCGAAGAATCATTTCGGATCGATATGACCCGATCATCAATAATTCAATGTTGAAGATTATAAATGATTTCAGTTTGAAAAAAAATTCTTTGATTCAGTTAATTGATTCAGACCGAATCGAATCGATTTAAATTTAAAAAATACCAACTAAACCCAAAGACTCTCAAAATTTTAAAGTTTCTTTCCAAATTTAGTGGCTCTTCCTCTTTGTTCTTCTTGCTCTCTTATCTCATGTATAAATTCTATTTTTTCTCTCATCGTTCTTCATTAGCAATCTTTTTATTGATTTATATGAATTTTTTATTGATTTATATACATTCATCAAGAAAAAAAAGATTGCATGTGAAGCCATTGTTCCTCTATTACATCTTTTAATAAAAAAAAATCACTTGTGCATAGGTCCAATTATTTAAAATATTTAGAATGATATTTATAAAATAATTTTTTTTGAGAATGTAAGCACAATTGGATTAAAATTTTGGTTTGATTCAACTAACTGAATCAATTCACTAAATCGAATCAGTTCATTTAAAATATTTTTTTTTAAATTACTTAAAATTAAAAAAAAATAGCTAATCAGTTAATTGAATCGAACTAATTAATTGTGAACCGATTGGATTGTGTAGGTTCGAAATAATTTTGGTTTAGAGTATTTAACTTTAATCAAACTGAGTAATTCGATACTTAATTATTAGGTTTGAATCGCTTCGAACACAAAGAACAGTGAATAACTATTTATGCTTGTCTTACGACATTACATCATTTACGTAAACATAATCTAAAGCTCCACTACATATGAAATTTAATGAAGCACGTTAGTGGATTTACTATATCCATTGTGTAGAACGTATGGGCATCTTTAGAAAAGGCAAAGCATGGTTGGTTCATATCCATTGAGGCCGACAAAGGAAGACAGAAGTCTGGGCTGCTGCGAGAACCCCACCACCCCTTTGAGGTAGGGCAACCAACCCATGGGAAATTACGGTGGAATCCTCAGTGAACCCTCATGTAGTACACGGTTCCAGGGGACGTCGTTGTGGCAAGTTTGTTATTGATCCTGGCATGAGAACCAAGAAGGATAGCATAGCAGAGAGAGCGAGAGAGAGCGAGAGAGAGAGAGAGATTCCTCATCTTTACATTCCATTCTCTTGGGCCAATCATTTTGCACTTGGCATGCGCTCTACAGAATGGGACACTATATTACCCAGCGGTCAAATTCCCACTTATGTCACCAGATTTGGTAGGATCACCACTTTTCTTTTTTTTACTATATTTTCTTTCATGGAAATTTAGAATTTTTTCTGTATTTAACAATCAGAAACTAAGTATTGACTTATGAAAAAATATTATTGATGATTACGTTAACACAATGTGACCGTGATCTATATGTGAGGAGAAATTCGGAGGAGAGTATGATCTCTTTCGACTCGTTACATACGTAAAGATCAAGATTGAGAGTGATTTCTCGATCTCTTATTAAGTTGTTGAGCTATCTCGCTTGTAGAATATTCACATGAATATTCTTGAAACTTTAGCCAACTAGGATCAATTACAAACTAACTCCTCTATAGAATGTTTACAAAAATATTTCTGAAAGTTAAGGAGCAGTTTGAGTCGATTATGAACTATATTCCTTGTAGAATCTTTATAGAATATTTATTCTCCTTAGGGTTAGTATAAAAATATATTATTAACTATAGATTACCAGAGATGAAAAAAAGAGGACATCAGTACCAACTTAGCATTGGAGGAATCAACTAGGGAAGCCATCTCGATCTCGATCTTTGTGTAGGTAACAAATCAAAATAGATCATGCTCTATTCTAGATAACTCCTCACATATTGATCAAGGTCATATTATGCTGACTAAGATATTAATAATATTTTTCTATAACAATTGTGAAAATAGATTTTTTAAATAGAGAATTTATTTTAGTTCGCCTTATGAAAATATGATAAAGTTTTCCATGTTAAAATCTTTATCATATCTTTATTTTTTTTTTCTACAATGTTAGGCAAAAATAAGAACTGTATTTCAACACTTCATGTATGCTTGAACATCCTACGTATTATCAATATATACTCTCTCTCTCTCTCTCTCTATATATATATATATAATAATAATAATAATAATAATATAATAATAATAACACTTCCAGGCAAATAAGAACAAGGATCAATTATGTAACACTTTAAAAATGGTGATTCAATCTTTAGTATGCAATGGAAGGTAGATTTGTTTGTCCGAGTTCAAGTTTGATTTATTTTCTTAAGAAAAAGGACCCACAGTTGACTTTTTTTCCTTTTGGGAAGAGTGTGAGCAAGTCAACCACCCAAACTCGCAAGGACTCTTTCACAAACAGATGTCTGTGCCAAAATTGACTCATGAATGCCTGGGTCTGTTCTAACTTATGACAACCCTAACTTAGCCAATTTTGCACTCACAATAGTCCATGCATGATTTGCACATATATGAACATATTCCAACCACTGTCATTAGTGTGTATAAAAATGAACATACAGTAATCACTGTCACATATTTCATCACAAAAAGAATTAAAATTAGATCAGGCTATGATTGAATTCTGTGGATGCCATTTTAATGTTTGTTCAGTGCTTGGATCTGTGGTTGACTAGCTTGAATACCACTAACTTGTGTGTCATACCCACAAGGAATCATATAGATTTTGAGTTGATGACAGAGGTGACATGAGTGCTTATGCACAGGGAAACTGCACAGTCAGCAGATCATCATAGAAAATGCAGAGACTCCACTCATACTTGAATTTCTTATTCTCTAATAAACATTGGTTTTAACAAAAGAATTAAACATAATTATCGATAGAAATAAAATAGAAAAAAAAATTATATTGAAGTAGCTTTAGCTTGATTAACATGTCCCTATCATATTTATACAGATTAAGAAGAAGAATTTTCCTCAACGGAATAGAGGATTTCCTTCAACAGAGTAGAGAAAATCTTATCACTATCACACGTATAACTAAGAGTTTAAGAGATCAAAATGTATCCGTCCATATGACTTTGTTATTTGTTCCAACAACAAAACATCTTTGTCATATACATAAACCATGCATAATAGCACGAAATGGTTATCCCATTTAGATACAATGCAGCCAGTGGTAATGCTTGTTGATGGAATTAGCTTGCAAAGCACTCGGGAGGCAGCCCCTGGGGGAACCTCTTCACATCAGTGCAGTAGTTGTAGATCATGTAGTTCTTCTGCACCCACCTCAGCTTCTTCAAGCTGGTGGCGTCAAACTCCTCCCACATCCAAGAGTTGCTGGTCCCCGAAGAGCAGGAGGAAGCTCCTGAAGGCCACACGCAGCCATTGGCGTTGTAGTTCCCGAAGGCAGCCGTGAAGGGTGCCTGGGACCAATCCGTCTTCACCAACCCCCCTCTGGTGGCCCAATCCTCCGCATCCCACAGACTGGAGTAGACCCTCGTCGCTTGGCTCTTCGGGTACGGCACGCCGACCGACTCCCTGTTCCTGAACTCCCTGATGGATGTGCCATCCACGTAGATGCTGCAGTCGAAGGAGGAAGAAACATTAGGACAAGTTTCTGTTCGCCACAGGGCATGCAGTCGATGAAGCGTAAGATGACTCACACGATGTGTCTGGGATTCCACAAGATCGAGTAGGTGTGGAAGTCCTTGGTGGGATCGAACCAGAGGTAGAACTGCTGCTCCCGGTTCCCCTTCCCCTGGCTGTACACGTTGGTGTGGAGGACGTAGGGGTCCCCGCTGAGGTTGCCGAGGAACTCCAGGTCGATCTCGTCATGCGCCGCTCCTTGCGACGACAGCTGCAACAGGATGACTCCATCACATCAGCGGCCACGCATGCAGCAATGACGAAAGGGATACAACGGTGACTTTACTTACGTAGAAGGTAGTGACTGTTCCAGCAGAATTCCCAGGAACGAGCTTGAGCTGCATGTCGAACTTCCCGTATACGTACTGGTCTTTGGACTGGAAGCCGGAGCCAGAATACTTGTCCAGGGACAGCGTGAGGAGCTGGCCATTGTTGAGGATTTTGGCACGGCCATCACCCCAGGTGATGTCTACATCCTGGTAAAAGTTGCCGGCCAGGGAAGTGCTTGCAGAAGTGGCAAGCAAAGCAAGCAAGAGAAGCAAGGAAGCACAGGAAGCCATGCCCACGAAGGAGCTTTGTTTTGGGGTCAGGTTGGTGTTTGTGTGTATATATATCTATAGAGAGAGAGAGAGAGAGAGTGGCCATGGCCATGTTTAAGGAAAGTTCCTTGTGGGAGATGACTCAAGAAGCTTAGACCGGGAATGAGCTGGATCCAGTGATTTGAAGGGCTGCTTTCCAGAACAATGTTTCCAGCGGCTACTAGTCACTGTGGACGCTATTGATTTGTTTAGGTAGATTTTGACTTGAGTTTCCAAAGGAAACCACAAAAGAGAATAATAGAAAAAATGTTCTCCATCTGGAGTTTAATATATATTCTCACAAACTTTGGAAATAGCATATTTTTGTCTTACGTATATTAATCCTTCAAAATTTTATATTTTTGGTATACATATCAAACTGATATTTACAGGGGAAAAATACGAAAATAACTAATTTTGGAGAAACATGAATGTAAATTCACTATTTTTTGAGATGGCAGATGGAAATGAAATCTGTGGCATGGAATTGACCATTTAAAAGGATGATTCCAGTATGATGCTGAGCAAGGATGAGATTGGAATGAGTTGACCATTAAAAAGGACAATGTGACAAAGTCTTTTGTTTTATCCCAATAGATTTATTTATAGTTATATTTATACTTAATACTTATAATTTATATAATATATATTATAATATTATATAGAATCCAAGAACCAAGAACCACACATTCTATGGGACATATCCATTCAAATATTGTTTATACTGACATGCAACTATCAATTTGTTTGAAACCCATATTATAAGGTTTTAAAGTTTTGTTTAAGCATGTTAATATACTTAGCATTTAGAAAAATCATAACTTACAATTCATATAAAAAAGTTAAGTTGGCTGTGCTAATGCAAATGCAAATGCAAAAAAAGGAAGGGCCAAATAGCAATTGATTTAATTAGGATTACTATTTTTCTGTTTGTAGGTATAAAGATCATTTATTTCTCCACAGATCCCCAAATAACAATTGATGTAATTACCAACAACTACCTTTCTCTTTGCTCTTAGTTGCTTTTCAAGTAATTTAATTTATTTAATCTATAATGAATTATAATTATTGTTATTAATAAACTGTTTTGTTGCTTTATTATCAGCTACAAGTCAATTTATTTGCTTACACATTATCAAACACCAAGTCACCAACTAAACTGATAGCTTAATTGTCATCATTTTTATTGACTCTTTAATTACCCTCTCCAATTAATTAGATCCCTAACATTCAAGAATTACCAAATAAATCTATCCTCCATGCCATATCTATGTCAAAAATGCTGTTATTTCTCTAGTGGAAAATAGCCAGTTGATGTCTCAGATTGACAATGCAGAATTTGACCTACAGTAAGGCAGCCAAACCAAGTCCTACTACTCCTGATGCTGATTTATTAGCTCCTCACAATCAAAGCCCATAGCAAAATGAATCAGCTGTTATTGACAAGAGGAAATTGGGAAGACAGCAAGCAACATTTGACAACATGACAAGTGTTTCCAGGGAAATCAATACCTGGATGGTTTCCTGGGCAAATCTGGTTGCTGCAAACTTCAAGTTGACCTGCTAAATCTTGGGATGGTTTCCTGGGCGAATCTGGCTGCCGCAAACTTCAAGTTGTCTTGCTAAATCCTGTGCAAGTATCTACAGAATATTTTACAGAAAGAAGTAGTTTGCAAGTGGAAGTAGTATATTCAATTTAAACTCCTCTTGTAGGGATGGTTTTCCCTTGATTCTGAAGAGATTCAACACCCAACTAAAGCAGCTTCTTTTCTACAAACATCTGCAACAGAGTTTTCACTAGTATTCTACAAAGGAATTTGTAACCAAACTCTCTTTCTTTGTATGAATATGAAGCCTCAACACTCTGTAAAATAATGGCAAATGAATGCTGTGTTTTCAACATAATTTTTATTTTGTAAAGTAACTTTCTCATGAAGCCAGAATGAGCAAATCTAAAACCTCATGATTGCCGTAAGTAATGCATGCCTATAATTCAACACAAGTAAACAGCCGCCATGCAGGATTTTATTCAACAAGAACAGTTCAGAAATGAAATATTTTTTCTGTTTAGAAAAAAATCAATAGTTGTCTTATCTACTTACAACAACAATCATCTAAAACAAATTGTGGTTCCTTCGACATAAAACTACATTTCATATACTACTTAAAAGAGCAGAAAAAGGTTGACGCATGTAATTCTATCTACTGCCTTGACATTAATTGCTAAAATATCTGGTTATGTCTGACTAAAATCATTCTCTCAAATGATTTCTTTATTTGAAAATAAAATTTGTATAAGCTCAAAATTGGTAATCCATAAGGTAGAACAAGAAAAATTAGATTAATTAATCTCTATAAAAAAAATTAAAATTTTAGATTCTTGCAGTCCAAGAATCTGCCTTGAATATACAACTTTTTCTGAAGGAGTACTTTGCAATTCAATTTCATAGCTACAACAAATGAAATGGTTTATGCCAATTGCTAGTCAGTAAGCGTGTCTGAAGAAAAGCTACAGAAGTTCATATGTTGGTTGGAAAATTGTACTTGTACCAACATTTACTGAACGTGTGGAGACTGCCTCAAAATATTCCTGATGTTACTGGGCATAGAAATATGCTCATTCTAACATCCAGAATCAATCAAGAGAAAGGTGAAACATATTTGACTTGTGCAAATAGAGTTGCCCTTATAGATGCATCAGAACTTCTTGTCTTGCAGATTTCTTCAACTGATTTTGTTAAATGATATCCACTGAGGATGAAATCATATTACTCGGTAACAAGCAACAGATCATCAAATATTCCATAGATTGTACCTACCTGCAAAATATTCAGAACATGGTTGTATGTGCAGAAAAATCTTCATATCAAACTGACTGCATACATAACAATCCTAAGTCTTTCTCAATAAAGCTCCTGAAACTTGATTCTGCATAAACGTTTGTTGTATACCCCTGTTATTTTTGAACAAAAGCAAAGCAATTGACTTCAAATAAATTTGTCAACATAGCACTTCTGATTACCAGAAAGTTCAAGTCAAGCAACAAAAAGGAAATTGGCTAAAATGGTCAACCCAAGTGTGGAATTTTTTCTAGAAAATAAAAAAGAGCTTTAACAGTAAGAATATTTTCCTCAATTTGGCCCCTTTACAACAATGTGATTTTTCAGAACTTATATCTTAAAGTATGAACAACTTCAGACATGGTCAAAATGACGGTAGATAATCATGTTATTTTAACACAAATTTGGATTTTCTACAGTACAAAAATAAACATTTCAAATAAGTTACAACAAATTAGAATGTAGAATTAGAGATGTACTATGTTCTATGTTCTTGTACAATCTCCCTGAAACAAAGGCAAGGCTGTTCCCAGCAATCGTATAATCTTTGGATCTCTCCTTATATAGTCCTTTATTTTCTCTTACAACTTTCAAGAGATGAAACCAACTCCAAGAATCAGAAGTGATAAAGTACCAAAATGTTCATTCTTTTCTGCTGTTTCTTGGTTTTTGCAATCCTAATACACTACCCTTCATCTCGTATAAATGAATCTTCAATCTAAAATTTGTAATGGTACAGAAGCCAAACTTGCAATCATAGTGACAAATTCTTGGAACAAGTTCAGTGATAAATGCACAAGCAAATGAGATGGACAATAAATAAATTCTTGGAGCTAAAAAGTTAATGTATGAAGGGCTTACAACCTAACAGCCAAACAAACAATCATTTCATGGAAGAAATTAGCAAATAAAAACTAGGATGATTAAACAGTGAGAACAAGCCTAAATGTAAATTATCTAACTTTCATAAAGACATTTAAGGACTTAGATGGCAGGGTTTACCCTCAACAAATCCCCTACCAAATATAAAGGGAGTTATCTGGAAGTACATCATCATAAATCTAAGAGATCTTAGACTCACTATGATTGTTCGCCCAAGCAACTGATGACTTCATAGATAGGTTGTATGGAACTTATGATCTTTTTCATAAAAACATAAATTGTTAAAAAAATTCAACATATTTCATTTATAAATAAAGAGCAAGAGCATGGCTTATCAGCTCTACCTTAATTTATAACCATTCATCTATACGAGGCAAGAGCAATGGGATAATGACTGAAAACCTAAATCGTCTTCAATGAATTAGATACTAGAAAAGATCAAAATGATTTATTCAAGATCTTAAATGGGACATTAAATAAGACTATTAGACAGTTTGAACACAACCATTTAGCAACTTATACTAGCTTCATTGAACTACAATTGGTGTAATGTTGATAACTAAAATGTTCAGCTAAAAAAAGATTTAATAATTCCTTTGGAAATTTCGGTAAAAAAGTCCAGCTACGAATGCCCTTTAAGGTATGACCAATAAATATAAAAACATGTTTTTGTACAATTGACCATACCCCTTATAAGTGGGATATGCAGTAAACCAAGAATTAAATTAATGCGACAAATATTCACTGAATCATTATTTCTTTAGCACTATCAAGTTTCTCAAAACAAAATTTGCCATTAGCTTGAATTCATTTTATTTTAAATTATACCCACACATCTATGAACCAAAATTAGTTAAAAGCTTAAACATGGACCTACTCAGAAATGGCTACCACAATACGTAGCAGCTAGAACAAAATGACAAAATAATACTCAGATTAAGGATTCAGGCATGCAAAAGAAGTCTATGGTCAATTAGGTATAAACAAGATAAAGCAACTAAGTGCCCAAAAACGAGTATGCAGGAGAAGAAATTAATAAAAATATCAATTGACTTGAATTATAGAGCTCACTAATTTTTCATTGCAGAGCTCAGCAACAAGGCACAATATAAAATTTGAAGTGGCAGCAAATGACTTGTTACATGTGAAAAAAAAAAAAGTATAGTTGACATCCATCCAACACTCAAGACCCAAATAACATAAAGCAGTACAAGAATGTGGAAAAACTCTGAAGATATAAAAACAAAGGCAGTGAACAAGTTCAAACCAAAGCACAAATCCACCCATGCTGATCTACAAAGAAAGGCCCTGTAGCATCCTGAGATGCTTGATGGCTGAAGGATTTTTCATGCACATCCTGCTCTTCTTTACCGAACTTGTCTTCACCTTAATATTTTTATTTGTAGGAGGTGTTTCCCTGATGGGTCTAGGTGGCACTCCTTTCTTAAGTGCACTACCTTTTCGAGTAGCAGATGGAGGTAAGCACAAACTCTGTGGAGGCAAAAGATTAGTTGGCTTCCAGACCAAGTTACTCTTCATAGAAAACCTGACCTTCTTAACACTATTCTCATCCTCTTGCTAACAGTGCTTTCCCCGTTAGCACCATTCCATTGCCACGGACCTTTGCCTCTGCAGTCTTTACTTTTTTCCTCTTTATTGGAGCAGGATTAGTAACCAATGTTACTGGAAGGGCACTCAATTGATAACTATTGTTTAATATGCCTGCTTCGGCAGCAGCCTTCACGAATTGTCTCTGTAGGTAAGAAATAACACATTCATCAAAATCCATCTCCTTGTTTTCCTCCACATCTCCATTCAAACTCGCATCATTAACAACATTGCTAGGCTCACTCCAAAGACAATTTCTTCGTCTTCTTAATGTGCTTATCTGAGATAAGTCATCAACACACCCATTATTCACCTCTACCTGCTCGGTGCTCTCTGAAACGACTGTACTGATTACATTTTCTGAGCTCCCATTTTCCAACTTCTCAGTCGAGATATGAACTCCGGATTTCTCCAAATCATTCTCCAGCCAGAGAAAGTCATCATGAAAACCAAACAGGATTTTACGTTTTCCCCGAAGAGTCTCTGATGCCGAAGCTGAATCAAGTAACTGCTTTGAAAATACCAGCAACAGAGAAACTCTTCCAAGTTTCTCGACTTCGCTGCCCAAAGCCACCTGAACTCCATTCTTTTCGAGATTCAACAGCTTCCTTCCGTTATCCAGCAACCGACAAAAGACATTCAGCTTAATCTTATTCACCGGCACCTTAACTGCAGACTTCTCTAGCACCGAAATGAAGGGCTTCAGCATCAAATCCAGTGTCTCCACAGCAAGCGCGAGGAACTCTCTCATCTCATCCAAGAATACCTCGGCCACATGGTAGCTGACGCCATTCGTCGGGTACTTATCCGCTGCAAGGAGCGTTTTCTCCGACAGGATACCGATTAGCCGGGCTGACAGCACCGCATCCCATGCGTTCTAAGAGGAAAGCGTAACGAAGGAACTTTCGGATGAGGAGGTAAAACTTGTCGAGGCGGAGAAACTAAATTACGCCACGCCGGCGGCAATGGTGAGAAGGAAGGTCGCGCAGTAACGGGCGGCGAGGGGACGGACTCGAGGAGGGCAGCGAGGCGGCCGGCGAGGACAGCCTGGACGGGGAGCTTGTCGGCGTGCCACGCGCAGTAGAAGAGGCCCTTCCGGATTTTGGCGTGGTCGGCGTCAGAGACGCCGTCCTCAGGCTGGTGGCAGAGCCAGGAGAAGAGGGCACGAACGGCGCGGTCGCGGGCGGTCCTATTGCAGGAGGCGAGGCGCTCAGCGATGGTGGCGCCGGAGAGGGGGCCGTCCATGGGGAGATCCGGAAGGGGGTTTATAGAACCTTTGGCGTTCGATAGAAACCCTACTGGACGTGAAATAGGTAAGCTTACCGCTCTGCCGAACTACGCGCTGTGTGTGTTGTGCTCCTACAGCAGCATTTTTTGCCTGCCCTACTCGTGAATTAACCCAACGCTACCTCCACTGGGTTTGGGCAAAGATGCGGGGCCCAAAACCATGGTCAGTTTGTTCGGTATTGACGTTGGCAAATAAGCCACTGGTAGAATATGCACACGTCAGTAAGTTAACATACACGCACGCAATTAAGCAAACTTATCATGTTACTTATGGCAACAGAAGCTTCTTGGTTCTCACCAAGCATCTCTATGATTTTATTATCAACATTGCCCCTGTACATTATAGTTTTCATATGTGTGCTCTGATCAACCTTTGCCGAGTACAGATCATACTTCATGACTGCTTCTTAGTTCCACAGATACGTACAATCTTACCCACTAGTTGTTAATATATGAGAGGTTGCTACGATTTGTCCGGAATCGATGAACATGAATCGGACTTCACTATGCGGTTTCTCTTTCTATATCATATTTCCTCATGGTGGGAGTGGTTTCACTGACGCCTGTTGATGTGAAATCCGAGCCACCGTCACCCCACAAATCGAGACCTGCACCTGATGCGTAGAGATGCTGAAATGGATTCGTTGGCGGAGTGATCTCCATCTCCCCTTCCAACATCATCACTACCTTGCTCATGGGAGGCCTGGCTTCTGCAGTGTACTGGACGCACCACAGAGCCACCTTCAACACTCTCTCCGCCCTCTCTCTGTCAATTTCTTCCTCGATTCCGCAGCTCGACACAATCTCCGCCAACGCTCCGCTCTCGAACTTGTCGTAGACTATTTTGGGGAACCACTGCTGGCTCTCCGTCACATCACCGTCGAAGTTCCTCCGCCGCCCGACTATCTCAAACAGCAGCATGCCGAAGCTGTAAACGTCGCACTTGTGCGTGACCGGAGACGGCATCCACATCTCCGGCGCGGCGTAGCCGGGCGTCCCTCGCCCTCCGGGCATGGTCAGGTGAGTGTTCTCCCTCTTCATCAGTTTTGCTAGCCCAAAGTCCGCCACCTTCGGGTTGAAGTTGGAGTCGAGGAGGATGTTCCCCGGCTTGATGTCGTAGTGGATGATCCTCTGTTGGCACTCCTCGTGCAGGTATCTGATTCCTCGGGCTGTGCCGATCGCGATCTCATGAAGCGTGTTCCAGTCCGTCGTCCGATCAATCCTGTCGAACAAGTACCTGTCGAGCGAGCCGTTCTCCATGTACTCGTAGACTAGCGCTCGCACCTTGGGATCGAAGCAGAAGCCGAAGAGCCTGACGAGGTTGATGTGGTGAGTTCTTCCGATCGTCCCCACTTCCGCCATGAACTGCTCCTCCACTCTCTTACCCAAGCTTCCACTGAGGACCTTGACGGCCACCGGAAGGCCGTTGGGGAGTTCCCCCTTGTAGACCGATCCGAAACCGCCGGATCCCAGCTTGGTGGCGTAATTGCGGGTGAAGCCTGCGAGCTGCTGCGGCCAAAACCTGATGGGTTTCTCTCCGGCCAGTTCATTGAGAAAGTTCTCCACCGTCGTTACCCCATTCGGAATCGGAATCGTAGTCGGTGGTGCGGCTGTTGTTGGTGCGTAGAAGTTGATCGATGGCAATCCGTGTTTGCTGAAGTACCTGTAGACCAGCACGGCGACGACGATCGTCCCGAAAACAGACAACACTGCAACCACTGCAAGATCGATGCATCACAGGGACACCATGAGAGCTCTGAATCGTTGCAGAAGAGATAGGTTTATGAGTGCATGAAGCCGCTTCTTACCGACGAATGTAGCGATGATTCCAGCAGGGATGCCAGAAGACATACCGTCGGTATTTGTTGAGGACATGGATGGACAGAGAGGGATGGTGATCGCATTGCTCTACTTGAGGACTCGTAATTGCCTGACCTGGTCGAACATCTTTGTTCCTTCTCGGAAAGTGCAGCATCCAGCTGAGATCCGGCTTTAGGACCGCTACGCGCATTTAGCCGCGACCGAGGCCATGGAAGAAGACATCGCATACAAGTCCAACGTTTACGTTGAGGACGATTCCGAGGCGGACGCCGTGGACTATACGTATCATAAACGACCATTGACCTTTCGGCCATGCACTGCTGTGTTTCGATCACCATGATATCTCGTCGAGGACTTTGATCGATCACCTCTTGATTGTTACTGAGCATTCAAAGTGAACAGGCTGAATCTTATTTTAGGTTTCTCACTAGCGATTTGAGCTCCACCAAGAAACTAAGCAGGACACGAGATAATAATTGTATCATTTATCTCTGTCCCAAACCCCTCCTATCCCATCCCATCCCACCCACCCGACTTGCTCTACCATGAATTTTGTGTTTGTGTAATTATTTTTTCTTTCATGTCTAAAATTGACATGATAATTATTTGTAGCTGATCGGGATTCGATATTGAGAGTATAATTAGTCGATGATATATCAAAAAGTATGTCACATCAACTGAGGAATCCTTTCTTATTAAAATAATTAATCATGTAATTATTGATGTGTTATCTATGCATCTCACATCAACATGAGAATATTTTCTTATTAAAAATAATTAATCATGTAACCAAAATAATTGAAAGAAAATTTTATCATATATTTTATAAGAATAATCCAAAATAAGATGAATCAATTTTACCATCTTGAGTTGATGTTTACTAGATGAATCAATAAAAAATTAAGCCGAGTGGATAGTTATTTTATTATAAATAATTTTATATTATCTGAATACGAAAAATTATTCGAACCATCCACGTTATCGTCCACATTGTGTGCTAACGGGATATCCTTTTATATATTGGTTGGGCGATCATATATAAGATTGATTAGATGTTATTACAGTATGAAAATACACATTCATATCTCATTTACTTTAATGAGTTGGTGGTCTCATTTACTTTAAAGAGTTGGTGGAATGTAAACTCGAGAAGTGAAAAATTGGTAGATCAGATTTTTCATGTCTATAGCTATGAACTTCTCACGATAATATAGATTTCCTCCCAAGTCACTACGAAATAAAACAATTTTCACATTAAGATGATCAATCTCGAAATTTAAGAAGATAATTAAAACAAAAAAAATGTTGTTTCATTAAGTGCTATAAGAATTATGTAAAATTAGAAAATAGTTTTTGTTTTCAAAATCGATTCTTATTGTTTTAAGATATATTTGAGGAAACAGAAATGATGCACAGTACACAAACGAGGACATGTAATACACAATCCGTATATACGGCTTGTTAAAGTTGGAACACTGCAACACACTCAACAAATGCTGTCATTAAAATTAGCATAACAACGTACCTTATGAAGTACCAGGTGGAGCTGATTTTGTTGGTTCTTAATCATCATACTTTAAGATATATGCATGAATTCGGTGATAGAGTATCAAGATAAGAGTTTCGGTCCGTTTTAATGACTATAAGCATCGAAAAAAAAGTTTGGTATATTAGAAACATGTCGATGTAGTTTTGAAGAATCGTTTATCATACATCAAATTCGTGAGAGACTCAAAATTCATGTTAGATCAATCTTCGTTCTCGATAAGGAATGAGTCTATGGATTGCATCAATAGTCGATCGATCAAATGTTCTCTTATCAATCCTTAAACTAAATTAATAAATATTTTAATATTATTTAAAAAAAAGTAATTATGAACGTCCAAAGAATTCGACCTGTTGCTATTACCTATATTTTTATTTTTACTTGAATGATTACAATCTGAATGGATATGAATACTCCAAAAAAAAAAAAAAACTCGAATTATTATCATCCCAACTTATTAATAAGCTCGGCCGACACACAGTACCACACACAGGAGCGGATGCGTCCAATGGGAGAGGTTTGCTCCTATGTTTCATCGCACGACCGAAACACCTGATCCCCCCCTCCCTTCCCCATGCCGATCGCTCCTATGCTCCCAGCCAATGATATTGCGAGGCCTGCGGTCCCCTCGGTTATCAGCCAATAGGAGGTAGCTGCTTTCGTGTTCCCTGTCTCGGACATGATGGGGTGAGCCCCTGCCTTTGCATTTTGTCATTAATATATATTGAACAATAATAGTACACAACTAAGAAGACTAATCCATATTAAGAAAATAATTCTGTTATGGTATATATATTAAGTACTTGACATAAAATAATTCTGTGTATATATGTGTGTGTGAAAATTTATGGTATAAAAACAAGAGGAGCTTTGCACACTTCTTTTGCCATGGTGGCTTCCTTTCCAAGACCCTCTCTTCCTCTCCTCCACACATCACTCTCGCTCCTCCCCATGGGTGTCACTGCGATGGGCAAGAACCAAAAGAAAGACACCAGTAGTAGCAGCAGCAGTCACAGCAATGGCAGTGACGGTGTGAAGGTGAAGAGAACCAAGAGAAGTGCTGCAAGGGATTCATCTCGTTCGCAGCGTAGCTCAGTTTACCGTGGCGTCACGAGGTCGGTCCATCCATCTCCTTCCATATCGTCGCTGCGGCTGAGGCTGCTTATAGATCTTCTGAGAGTACCGTTGATTTAGTTCTCTTCTTCTCCTATAGGCATCGGTGGACGGGACGATTCGAGGCTCATTTGTGGGATAAGAACAGCTGGAATAAATCCCAGAACAAGAAAGGGAAACAAGGCATGTCGTGCTCCTTTCTGTTGGCAGATTCATTTTCTTGCCTAACTTTTATGTGCCTTTCTCTCTCTTATCTGAATTCTCTGGTGGATGGATCACGAATGAAACGCAGTTTATCTTGGTGAGCTATATAATGATCACAAATACAAACATCAAACTCGTTCTGCTCGGTCGATAAAACAGCATTTGATTATCTCGTTCAACTTTAGGAGCTTATGGTGATGAGGAAGCAGCAGCTCGTGCGTATGACTTGGCAGCCTTGAAGTATTGGGGCCATAACACCATCCTCAACTTTCCAGTATACCATTTCACCCATTTATTTCCGGTACACCATTTCATCCATCTATTTCATCCATGGATTATTGTTGCAGATATCAACATACCAAGAAGAGCTGGAGAAGATGGAAGGCCAGTCCAAGGAGGAATACATTGGATCATTGAGGAGGTAAGCAATCTTTTCTGAGTGCAACAAGCTGATGAACCGCTCACTCTTAAAAGCTTGGAGTTACAGGAAAAGCAGTGGGTTCTCAAGAGGCGTCTCCAGATATAGAGGTGTTGCAAGGTAATTAACAACACTGTAATTAGGTCAATGACATGTGATTAGTCCTAGTTTTCCTGCAACAGCTTGAGATTGAATGCCTTGAGAACAGGCAAAATATTCTCCAAAGTTTGTTTTCATTCAGATATTTAGGATCTTGATTAGAATTGTTCCTCTGATTTCTCTTTTTCTTTCTGAAAGAGTAAATCTAACATAAAGATGAAATGCGGTTAACGTTATCATAACACATGCAATTAGCTACCTTCAAATGCAATCAGATCAACAAAACTGTCTATCTGCAAATTTTGCAGGCATCATCACAGTGGGAAATGGGAAGCTCGGCTTGGCCGCGTGTTTGGCAACAAGTATCTCTACCTTGGAACATATGGTCTCTCTCTCTCTCTCTCTCTCTCTCTACACTAATTTCATGATCTAAAATGACTACTGATCGTAGTTTAATTTCCTCACATGATCATAGTTGCCATTTTTTGGAAAGACAACAAAAATCAAATAGAACATGCAAATAAGTACAAAGACTTCTAATTTCAAGCGTTATTATGGATGTGAAGAGCCAACCGTTTGCGAGTTTTGCTCATACGGCTCTCTTTCAAAGAAAGAGGTTGCTCCGTTGGTGAACTCGAGGAACATATACCATTTAATGGTGGTAGTTTGATGACCATACTGAGCCCATTCACCCAACGTTGGATTGGGTGGGAAACAGAGAGAACGATGCCGATGCATTCGATCATAATTAGGTTTGGTTGGGACCAACAAATATACCACACCAACCTCCACCCATATCCACCCACACTTTGTCGCTACTATTAAGTGCTTGAGTCCATTTCATACTCAACCTAGAAGTTGACAGTCATCTACTCTCTTTAAATGTCTACGACGTCATTGCCACAGTGATCTTAAGATGCTGCCTCCACGTCCATGTCATGTTAATTCACCACCTTATCTTCCAAACAGAAGAGGAAGAAGAAGAACTAACGCCGTCGTCCTGTTCGATGCAGCGACGCAGGAGGAGGCAGCGGCTGCGTACGACATGGCGGCCATCGAGCACCGCGGCCTTAGCGCCGTCACCAACTTCGATCTCAGCCGGTACGTGGAGTGGCTTCGCCCGAGCACCGACGCCCATGCTGCTGCCTTCCAGTCCCACCAGGTTGCCGATACAAGACCCGAGGGAGCAATGACTGCATCGCCTGCGCTTGGCCTGTTACTGCAGTCATCGTCAAAGTCGGAGAGGAGGTCACCAGAACGTAAATCACCGCCACAACCACCGCCACCGTACCTGAGTAGTAGTAGGCCCTCCAAGTGCAGCTTCCCGGAGGACATACAGACATACTTCGAGTGCCAGGACAGTGAATTCTACCTTGAGGGAGAAGACTCCAACTTTTGGGGCAGTACCACATTCATTGACCTGTGATCACGCACGGCCATCCCATATGAGCAATGAACACAGGCATGTTCCTTGCCCATGCGGTATTGGAAGCACAAGATGGTGAAAGAACACTCTTCGTTACTGTTTTCATGTGTGTTGACATGGACACCAATATGATCTGAATAATAGAACATGGTGGCTTCCAATCAATGCCATCAATGTTCGGACTGTTTCTGATCCCAAGTATTTTGTATGTATCTGCCGAAACGTCTCAAGAAATTATATATATATATATATATATATATATATATATATATATATAATAAAGTGATTTTATTTTTCTAAAAAAGAGTAAAATTACTTAAAAGTGCTTAATTATCTAAAAATAATCAAATCAAAGATATTTAAATAGCTGGGCTTACATTTCCTTCTTTCCGTAGTTGATTTCAGAGTTCTTTTGAACATGAAGATTACTCTGTTAGTGTAATTTAAGGGGAGCATGATTTGAGGAGGCATTTCATTTAAGAAGGGGATTTGGGCTTCCATTTAATTAGTGGGCCAAATTGCCAGCCCAAAATTAACGTCCATACCTCTACTAATGTGGCCTTCCGCGGCTCGGAGGTCAAGCTATGTTCAGCCCCAAGAAACGGAAGCGTCGAGTGACGCGACAGCGGCAGCGGCGGAGGCGACGAGATCATCGCGTAACGGCCCACTCCCGGCCGGAGGAGCGTGGCGTTGACTTCTTTGGCCCCTCCGTCGCTAAGTACTGGCGGCAGCGCTACTCCCTCTTCTCCCGCTTCGACGACGGCATCCTCATGGACGAGGAGGGCTGGTACTCTGTCACCCCCGAGGCAATCGCCGCCGCCCACGCCGCCCGAGCCACCTCCCTCGCCGGTCGCGGTTGCCCCCTCGTCCTCGACGGCTTCGCTGGCGTCGGCGGCAACGCCATCCAGTTCGCCTCAAGGTGCGGTCTTTTGATTCGTAGCTGAAGAAGGGTGTGGCTTTCTTTGTGGTCCAAGCTTCAATAAGGGTCGGTGGCGTGCTTTTAGGGGTTGTCACGTAGTTGCGGTAGACATTGATCCGCGGAAAATTGGGTTTGCTGTCCATAACGCGAAGATTTATGGTGTGGAGGACAGAATTGATTTTGTTACTGGAGACTTCTTTCGTCTTGCGCCACGTCTAAAGGTGGGTTCTTTCCCTTGTATTCTTCTCTTTTGTTTCTCATTCGGGTGCTTTGAATGATTTTGTCGTGTGCTTGGAAAGCGAACACAAAAGGTTCTGCATCTTATTAAGTGTTAAGAGTTTAGTGTAAGTTTTTGGGATTTGTGGTAACCCAATCAGATATAATAGCAGGTTCTCTATTTCGTCTGGTGTTTTAATTAATAGTTGTGCAATGTCCTTCTCTTTAAGTAGATTGCACCATATTTTGGGTTCAGTTTCACATGTCAAGCCTAATTCGACTTGCGCGCAAAAGGGGAATATTAGAGTTTAGTATTATAGATTGAGCCTTTTCCTATCTTTTCTTGGATAAGTGAAAATTTCATCATCGAGTGTTAACTCTAACAAGATCTTCAAATGCATATTTTGGACGTGACTGTTGCATTGTGTGATTTGGAATTTTGTTAGGTTGGTATCTATGGGGGCCTAGTATGTGTCTGAATAAGAGCCTAGCTCCAAGAGTCAGATTACAAATTACACTTTCTCATATATTGTAAATATGTAGGATTTTCACATTTAAGATGTGGCATCATGGACACATCACTGTCTGATGGATTGTTCAATCTTCACATGGAACTATGTATCAAACATTGCACTTTAACATTGATTTATTATACTTGTGATGATTATCTTGATACATGATTATCTATCAGAGATTCAACCTACATCTGTGAATTAAATGTGGACTGAAAATTGTGGTTAGGCTGCAGCAGTTCCACCACCAATCTTGTACATGTTGGCCCTCAGTGTTGCATTTAAATATAAGAACAAATATCATCACTGAACTCTTTGGACAAGTGGTAGCACAGATATGTTAAGAAAGACTGACAATTAAGTGCATGAATGAAGGAAAGTTAACTAAAAAAATTTGGAAGTTCATTAACGTCTAAAATTTATGAGACAGTAAGAAATGATTGCGCATAAACTAATATAATAATAGCTGCAGTTAAAAAATCATGTAACATGGGTAAGACATGTTCAAAGAAGACCAACAATTGACTACATAAACAAGGGAAACTGAGTTGATATATTTATAAGATTTTGAATAAGGAGAGAATAAATTAAGATTTGGACATAGACTTTTGAAAAGGTGTAATGGATCCTTCACTTGGCTAAAAATATTTCCCTTAATGGAATTAAATGGTGAAAATGGCTCAGTGTATCCAAATGGACATGGCCTGGTTAGACGAGTTGGATTAGATCAGATTTGGTGTGCAGATAGGTAGAGAAAGTTCTAAGAAGATTTTAAAAACAATACAAAAAACTCTGGGTACTTACTCGTAGTTGATCTGGTGCTATTCCTAGATAGAGCTCAATAGGCAAAAGATCAATGTAGTTGATGCCTAGTGGTTGGAAAATTGCACTTGTTATTGTATTTATGGATCAATGCAGGTGCCAACTGAAATACAAATCCTAGAGTATAGTCATGAATATTTGAGGCTGATATTCTGATTCTAACTGGAGAATGATTTCTCAAAAAACACACACCTTGCTAAAGATGCTCTTTTATTGCTATTCTGACTGTTTCAAATTTATTAGGGTGATATTCTTTTCCTTTCGCCACCTTGGGGAGGCCCATCATATAGAGACTTTCGAAGCTACACTCTTGATTTGCTGATGCCAAGAGATGGGTATGTCTCTCTTCCCTGGTTTTAGTTGAAATCTTTGTTTGTTTGCTCTCATATGTCTTCCTGAAAATTCCATGTCATGTATGCTAAATATTAACCTTTATGTAGAATAGTGGTAGTTAATTTCAACCCTGTTTTCCAGAAGTGGATCAGGTCCTTGCAGTTGTCCAAGACAAGGTTAACTCATGAGGACACCAGTAGCAATCTACTATCTTAACAATAAGAAATCATGGTAAAAATAAATAATAAGAAATCGATTTATTATTTTAGTTGATAGATGATCAAGTATGTAAGCAAAAACATCCAGGATTACATGTGATTCAGATTATTTATAAGGTATCTTCTGAAACTTTTGGTCCCTTTACAGTTCAATGAATCAAAATTATCAAATTTCAACAGGATTTTTTTTGACATGCAGGAATATTTGACTATTTGACTACTTATACTTTGCAAAACATTGTTCCAGCTAATCATCTTTTGCAGACATGCATGTGGATGGATTGGACTATATGCAGAAACATTATAGGATTTGCTATGTGTTTCTATTGCTTTAGTATTACCATGGGGCATGCTAGAACTTAGAAAGCAGAACATACATGCTTGTGGATCCATGTTTACAACATACATGTGAGAGAATGAATGGGGCAAGTAATCTATATCATTGTAATTCTGCTCTCTATCTACCCAATGACCATCACTAACAAATTCCTGATGGGTGTATCATGAAGAAATGCATTGAAAATATTATGTCAGAAGCAAACTTCTTTTCTTATGCACACTTTCTTAATTAATTTGTAAATAATTTCCATGAGTACCATTTGTTTCTGTTGGCCATGCAAACTATCAGATATGTAATTTCTTTTATATATGAATCAATTTTAATTTCCTTCCCTTTCTCCAATGGTGCAAAAGTGTCCCTTTTGACATATTAAGTTATCTAATCTTGGAATAGAACAAAAACCAACTTATCTAATATAACTATTTTGGAAATTCACCTTGTTTTTGATCAGGAAGATATCAGCATATATTTTATTATCAGATCCATGGTAATCAAGGGGTAAAAAGTGCTTGGAAGGTATCTGTTATGCCTGACAGTATTTGACCTAAAAGATCTATGTTTTTCCATTATGTGCTATTTATATCATAGATTCTGCTGTTTAAATCTATGACATTGTTTTGGTTGTAAACTTGAGATTGATACTTATATCCTGAATATATATACCCGTAAAATACATAACTGTTAGTGAGTCATCAAATGCACTTGTTATAATAGTTCATTCAGAAAGCTTTTGCAGTTAGTTATTCTTTGTTTATAAACAGTGAAAGTTTGGTCTGGCTTTAGAAGAATCTAAAAAAATTATAATGTTAGGTATTCCATCTTTCAACTTGCACAACAAATAACTCCCAATATCATTATGTTTCTGCCACGCAATGTGAACCTTAACCAAGTGGAAGAGCTTTCTTGGTTGTCCAGCCCTCCCTTAAAATTTGAGGTAAAAGTTCAAATTTTCTCGAGTTTATATTTTTTTATTCTCATGGATATTATCCATCGTTGTGTTTAGTATGTCTAATATATTATATGAAAATTTTTATTTCGTCTTAAGGAGTTTCTTATTTAATCTTCCATGAAACCTTGACTTAAATGACTTAGTGGTAACTGGTAGACCAATTTTCATTGGAAGAAACTTGAGTGAGGGCAACAAATAGTCCTTCATGCTTGAAGAATATGAGATCACTGAGACAATTTTTGTTCTAGCTAGAAGAATAACAACATAAGCATTACTAACTGAATAATGAGTTGGTGTAATATAAACAAAAGAAGAAACTTCGGACATGATCTTCATGGACCCAGAAAACCTACATAGATCAGCAATGAAATGCAGCTTGAGTATCATGAAGAGAAGATATCTAAAATGTGTCAGTAAAATTTTTAAAGAAATTGTTTGGGACCTTGGATCTTAGATTCAGCGAAAGGGAGATCACAAATGACACTTTCAATAAGGTGAGACGGTTTTAGCAGAATGGGATGTCTGGAGGGGCAAGCGATCGCGAAGCATCATTTTGCACTATGAAAACCTCACAAGCTGATTGTAGAAGTACATTATGATTTGTTGGTCAATATGTCCACCGAATTAGAAAATAACATGTTTGAAAAGGTAAGTATAACAATGATGTTGAGATAGATGTTGTGACATAAGAAAACATAAAATAGCAGATGATTGCACTAGTGACTGAAATCTTAAAGGTGAGTTGCCAATCAAGGTGAATATGAAAAGATTAAAGTTGTAGACTTGTCCAAAAGAGATCATCAAATGTACTGATGCTGGGGTGTGTTAAATTACATTAGAGGTGCTAGGATATGTTAATGAATGGTAAGGAGTTCATAAAATAAATTGTCTGGCAACATTTCCTTTTGATAAAGGTTAAGGGTGCGAAAGATCTATATAGCTGGCTAGAAGAGCTAGAAATGATGGCTTGTTGTTATTGCTCATTGTTTATCATGTATGGGGAAGGTCGTGGCAACTGTTTATTTTGACAAACAGCTCTCGTCTAAATACCACTAGTTTTACAAAAATACTGAACCTAGTCTCATTTCAATCAGTTGATTTCTACATCATCTGTGCTACTAGATGTTGATCTGTTGATGTTTCTTGGTCTCTGCCTGTAGCACCTGCATGCTTTGAATGATTGCTCTTACACACGCTGAACCTCACCCAGGCATTTCTGCTCTGTGAACTGCTCCTAACCATCTTTCTTGATTTCACACCTAGTATTTGAAGCATGCTTACTGTTTCAAGCTTTCGTCATGCAGATAGAAGCAAATCATGTACAAACCAAAGTGAAAGCGATTACTGCCTACTTTGGTGATATTGCGGCAGGATCATCTGGATTATCGAAGATCTGTTCTGGTGTAACTTCATGAGGTAAAATATACTCTATCATACCCAATTCATTAATTTTTCTCTGGCGTAACTTCATTAGGTAAAATATACTCTAATCCTCTCATCTCTGCTCCCTTCCCTCCTTGATAATTACACACAGGTCAAAGCTTGCCCCCATGGAAAGAATATTGTCATCATCTAAACTTCTTTCCCATTTAAATTGTTGAACAGCACCTCCAAAATTTTTTCTGGTTAATAACTTGCTGCCATCAAAACCTTTCTGTCCCCAACGGTGATTTTTATTTTAATATCAAAGTCAAAACCATGCTAGAGGCTTTCCAACTGGTCCATAGAACACTTTATATCCATTGTTGGTGGTGCTGCTCCTGCTTCTGCTGCATCAATACCTTAGTATTACCCTTCTTCAAACTCCTCTACAATTGGCCCTGAAGAATGCCGAGTAGTCATCTGCAACTTTCACTATCATAGTCAATCTAACACCCAAACCAAATTCAATAAAACTTTGATGTTGATGATGTCCATAGAAAGAGGTTTCAAAAACAAATTGGAAATAACCCATTGGTGGCCTTGGGTTGTGGGACCTTATTTTTGTTGAAAATTCTATCCTTGCAAAAAGGCTTCTCCCCTTATGAACAACTCCAGCTCCCTTTGGGTTGGAAGCCTCCTTTCAAAGTACGGTGATCTTCATCCTTGGTTCAACTCTCCCAAACAGAATTGTTAGAAACATATCTAAATTCTCTCATAGAATCAGGGGCTTTAGGAAGCTAATCGGCACATGTTCTTTTCAATTTGGGACGATCCTTGGGTCGACAGCACTCCTTTCTCTAAGTGGTCCACTCTGCTTAACATGGATGAAATGCTATACTTTCCAATGTGTCTGATTTGATACATCAAAACTAGTGGGAGTCTTAACATTGTTTACTCTCTATTCCACCCTTTGCTCAGCAAGAGAATTAGACACTTACACCTCAGTTGACTCTTGGCCTGGTTAGGAGGCGTTATGGAAACTCTCTGTTACTCCTAATGATAAACTTTTCTTGTGAAAAAACAGTCCTGCAACAAACTCCCTGCCTCAACTATCATTTCACCTATTCTTGATAGCCAAATCAAGTGTTGTCCTGTCTGCTAGTAGCTTGTGCCAAGCTTTTTTTTTTTTTTTTGAATGCCCACAACTTGTGCCTTTCGGAACCTTCTCCTGCAAAGCATTGGCTATACCTTTAAATACATGTCTTCTGGTACCTTGGGTCTTGGCTTAGTGAGGGCAAAGAACTTGACAAACACTAGTCGAAACTACTTAATAGCTTTATAGCTTACTATGAACCTTGTGGATTAACAGAAACAAGGCCAGATTTCACAACCACCATTCCAAGCCATCCACACTAGTCCCCAAAGCACTTGCTTTTTTGAAAGATACTTATCCATGCTCTTTGCATTACGAGGGGACAAGAGATGTGGTTGTCCTCACACTCATGGGCAGTTCCCCCAACCCAAACTTTATTTTACATATTGATGGTTCTTACTCACATACTGACAACTTTGCAGGTTCCGGCTCTCTCTTCAAATCTGCTTCCAACTCTACACTGGTGGTTGGTTTTCCCCTTCATCTGCCAAGAATCCCTCCATGGCTGAAGCTTTGGCTCTTTTGGAAGGTCTCCCGCATGTCCTGGAGCACCATTGAACTAACTTGTGCGGTCCAACTCTGGACCTCTGAATGCCTCATCAATTACATCAACGATGCCTCTCCCGCCCCTTCGGTTTTGAGGGTCATCAACTTCAATTTCGTTTACAGATCCTCTAATCTTATAATTCATCAGCTAGCTTACTTGGGAAAACCACTGGTCCGTTTTTGTATGGAACACGAGGTAAGTTCTTGGTTATGGTTGATGCCAACTTGGACCATGGACTCTAAATTTCTGAAACAAACTAACAGTCTTCTTCGATGATTTTGATACCTAATATATAGTTTGGGTTGCTTTGCTCAAAAGTTCAGCCTGTTGAAGTGGCCTCGGTCTTAGGAGGGTCCCACATTTTTTCAATCAAAATGCGGGTAGAAGGGTGGGGAACGTCCCACGGTGTCCTGTTTCGTACGCCTCGGGGCGGGGGACAGGAGGGTCGGTTTTCCCGTTCCTACAATTCTAACGGCGCCTATGCATTGACCCGTCTTTGTCTCTCGTAAATTCATGGTGCCGATGGGGGTCCCACATGTCGCTTTCACAAACGGGAGGACGGTCTCCGCGCACCACCGTCATCGACGAAAGCGTCCGATTGGAAGTGACAAGGAGGTCCCCAGGTCGGGTCCCACATGGCGAGACCGGCGCAGCACCGGCGAGTAGGAAGAGGTTGATTGCTCGGTTCCAAATCCCGATCTCTTCCGCCCGTGCAGCGCCTCTTTTTCTTCCTCTTAAATGCTCGCTCTCCCTATTATTTCCCGCCCACGACGCCCACCTTTTTTTCCCCCTCTCGCCCCTCGTTCTTTTCACACCCCTCTCTCTCTCTCTCTCTCTAACAAAGAGAAGACGAAGACGATAATAAAAGAAACCCGGCGGGGAATGAAGAACCCCAAGGTTCAAACCCCTTCGTTCCCTTGCCTCTATTCGTACCCCTTCGTCGATCCCAAATCCTAGATTCCTCGGGGGGCTTGCCATGCCGGATCTCGGCAACCTCCTGCTTCCCCTCCCCGCGGCGCACCCCCCGCACCGCGGCGACCCTTCCTCCTCCTCCTCCTCCACCTCTTCCTCCCCCCGTCACGAGATCCTAGATGCAGGGGATGCCGGCCTCGACCGCAAGTGTAGCCGCCCGTTCAAGCAGGAGCGCAAGACGGGGAAGAAGGCAGCCGATGGAAAGGCCTCGCTGGCCGATCACGTGAGCGCTTGGCGGGAGAAGAAGATGGCTGCCGGGGTTCCCGACAGGGAGTGCTTCTTGCCTTTCCTCACTAATGCTCCAAGAATGGTGATTTCTACTTTTTAGGTTATTTATATGGGATTCTTTATTCTTTATACGGAATTTGTGTACCTAGTCACATTGTAGCCAATTTTGGTTTCCACTGGCATTCATTGAGATTTAGCTTCGTGGGTTGGCTGTGAAGAACGAGTTTCAATCAGAACAGAGTATTCTTGAAAAAAATATAGGAAAATTGTGTTACAAGAAATGAACTTTTTATAGAGAAATCTACGAACTTGAAAAAGTCTGTATAGGCTTCTTGTTTCGATTTTTGTTTATATCATTTATGTCTTGTTAGTAATGCTCATGTATCTTACAATGAAATGTTGGATCAACTGGAATAAAACTTGATTTAATAATTGATCAAATTCAAGAAAATGGTTTATTTGGCTTCTTGAAACCATTCTTAGGCTTCTTCTCAATGGAGGTTTAGCTTTATGACCACCTTGTTACATTTTCTAGTTTTTTTTGTTCCACTTGTACGAAGTTTGAAGCTCCAATTCCTGCTTCTTTTTATGTAATAAATAATGTATGTTCTTGATCTTGTGTTCATCTTTTAGATTAATTTCATGCATGGTTTTGAAGAGAATGGTGCTTCACTGAGGCCCCATCTTGCCTATGCCTTTATGTCTAGGCTCCTAAACATCTTTGCTATCCACAATCTTTGAATGTGTGAAACCTCAATCAGGGGAGAGGCATTAATTGCAGCTTCCGTCTGCAATGTAGCATTTGAACAATTAATACACCTGAGTTATGTCCTTGACATTGCATAGATGAAATGTAAAATATGAGAAATGTCAAATATCTAGATGAGTTTACTTCTTTTTCCTACTGATCACATGTGATTCATGACATGCGAAATTCTAAAGCAACATCAACTTATCTGACAAAGGCTTTTATGACATGTTTGCAACTATACTTTTTGCATTTATCTTGCTTTGGATTTTTGAGAATAATTATGTCTTGATTAAAATAAAAGTGCAATCTTCTTATATCATAGAAAACCCTTTTAGGTTGATTGCCACATGTGCAATAGGTGTATCTACCCTGGAGAAGAATTGCGATGTTCAGTTCTTGGTTGTCAAGAAGCTTACCATTTGACATGTGCCAAGAAGCTGATTGGACCCTCCACTTCAAAACCTTTCAAGTGCCCTCAACATGTAAAATTTCTTAACTTGACAGGATAATACCATGTAATTCTCTTCATTTACTTGTGTAATTTGATAGCCTAAGCATGCATTGTGTGCAAATGCAGTTTCATGGTTTCTATTTGGTTAGTAGACTTTTCATCTTACTCTTTCTTTTTCTTCCATGTTCTGATAACTTATTGTTCATCTAACTGCCTCAGATTGTTCCATCATTTGAGAGCTAGATAACCTTTGCTGTTCTGTTCATTATTGATTTATTGATATCAGCTTAGTTATATGCTCTCACATCTGTTATCCCTTGGACCAAAGAGGCTGCTATAAGACAAGTTCATGTATCTTTTGTCATAATGGGTTTAACACAAATTAAAGAAATGGACTGTGCGTAAATAAAAAAACGGCATTCATTCATGCCAGCGGATGCATGTTATGACTTGTGGTGTGCACATTAGTATGTGCCTTGTGAATGTTCTGTTTGTTATTTGAACAATGCATGGGATATTAGTCTTTGATTATAAGAAATTAGTTTTCTCAACAATTATGTATTTTGGTCTTTGCCTATATTTTTGTAGTGTGTCCTTCCCTTGACTACTCATTAGATGCAAGCTATGTTTTGTCTATGGTAAGCTGTAAGGTTCAAACCATATCTGGTTAGCAACATGGTTCCTTTTCTTGTTACTGATTTTTGATGAGAGCAAAGTAGAAACATCACTACGTAATCTAAGATCGTTCAAATTCTTTTTATTATTTCTAAACTTTTAAGTCTTTGTCTATTTCTTGTCACACCACTAACTCCAATTGATGTATTTTGTTAAATAGTATATCTCTAGGCCTTATTTAGACATATCTATATCACCTTAAGTCCTTTTTCTCATTTTATCTTCAATCAATACTATTTCTAATTGTTTACATATATAGATGTTTCTTATTTTGTATTTTTAGTAATTCCATCTAGCATCTTAATATTCTCTTATCAGCAATATTGACTTCTTGTATATGTTGTTCTCTAACTAATTTGTGTTCTGATCTGTCAAGCATGGTTAGCTTATAGTTGTCCTAAACCTTTTTTCTTAATGTTTTTTTCTTCACTTCAATTATTCCACTTATGCTGTATGAACAATATTTCTTCCAGTCTAACCTCCCACAGAATAATAGATCCAGTAAGTCTGAAACTTTGTTTTTAAAAATTTTTTGTTCTTCTATTTTTACCTACACTTGTTTCTTCTCTTGGTCTTGTGCAGTTGCACTCTAATTCATTTTGGACTTGGTTGGAAAACTTTTAGTTTTCAATGTCCTATCTTGACTTTGTAATTAGTTCCAATTAAACAGGCATCAATGGTAATAATATTGGTAACAAATATCTTGCACAATGGAAGCATCATTTGGGTCTATCATCAGTAAAACCAAAATGGGTGGTAGGTTGTAGATATTTAATTCTTTTGACCTATTTAATTAAATATCTTGAGCTTTATCTCAATTTTATTCTGCCATTGATGCTCGTGGAATGGGATATTACTGGTTTTCTTAAGCAAATTCTCTATTTGTTAACTAATGTTTTTATATATATGCTTACTTAGTGGAGTCAGAAATATGATTTTCTTGAAGCATTTTTAAGCATAAGTCCTTCCTTGCACTGAAAACCATGCTTTTAGTTATAACCAATTGTTAACCTGCAATGACTTATTCATATGTTTTCGAAAATCCTAATACAGTTTGGTGTAGAGTTTCTCAAACTTGCCATATTGTCAGTATATGCATGCCAAAAGCTATGAACTAAATATACAATAGCTGCTGTTGATGGATGGTATACCTATTCTTGTTGCAATTATGTTTAAGTATATGTTTAAAATAATAATTGGTTATAAGCAATGGTTTGGACTTTATTAATATCATCCCTATGTTTATATTTAATAATTTTCTTATCTTTATATCAAGTCTCTAGGGAGTGAAAAGTAAGACTTAGATTTAAGTACTAGATTCATCTTCTCCTTTCCACACAGGGCTGTTTTGTTTGCAAGCAGAAAGCATATTGGCGTTGTGTAAGATGCACAATGGCAGCACATACCAAGTGTGCACCATGGCCAGCAAATGTCATTTACTTCAAAAATCGACCAGGGAGAGCCATTTGCTGGAGACATTCTTCTGATTGGCGTCTTGAAAAGAAGGTCAATCTCTTCTTTTCTCACCAGAACAGATGCAATTATCTCAATAGTTCTAATTATTTTTAATTTCTCCTTTTTTTGTTTCATTAGTTATTGGATGTCCAAATTCAATTGTCTTTTTTTTTCTGAATATCATACCTGTGAAGTATGCTTTGTTCTGGAAAAACAAAGTGAATGGTTAACATTACATGCAAATTTATTCTGTTGTAGAATTTTCTTTCACACAAGTAAGTTCAGTGTTTTTTATCATGTATTTAATCAGAAAAATATCTCTTTTGAAATATTTATTATATTTGAAATTTAAGACATTTCAGTCATTTTTTGTTGGATTTTTTTTTAGTCCAATTGGATGGTTGGCAAAGTGAAACTTTTGTTGATTATAAATTTAAATCCTTTTTTTGTGATTCATGAAGGCTTTAGGCTCCAATTCTATGTGGTCAATGACATGGAGTTTTTTTTGCCATTCTTTGTTGAGGGCAATATCACTGATAAAAATGAGAGCTACAATATCTCCTTTAATTATTATTTTATTAATTTTTCGTTGGTCTTCCTCTACCTCTTCTCATAGCATCAATCCTTAGTTTATCTTCTTTCCAATTTGGATTTATTCAAGTTTAACTCTGTGCATTGTTATTTCCCTTTTGTATTTTACACTTTTTATTACTAGGCCACTTTCACTACAAAGAAAGATCTCAACTTATTATTTATTTTAAAATTTTAATATCTATTGACACAGAGTTAGGTTGCATATAATGATGAACATTGCTTACATCTTTGACATTGCCTTCTGTAGTCAGGAATGGGAGGTGGCATATCACATGCTTGGAAAATGTTTTATCTTGTGCTTTAAATTTGTTGTCTTGTCATGAATTTGCTAAGTGGGGAGCTTTTATCCATGATTGTGTATGCAAACTATTTTTAGTTATCAGTTTAGTCGAAGGAAGCCTTTGTTGGGAAATTTGGATTTTTCTGAAGATTGGGGTTTACGGTCATGATGTTGTTAGATAGGAGTATGAAGATTCATAATTATGTTGGGAAGGATGATAGGATATTGAATTAGCAAATTTTTCTATAATAGTTCTAGTGATTTCAATAGGCGCTCGGGCGCTCGCCTAGGCGCTCGGGCGAGGCGAGGCGAGGCGAGGCGAGGCCCGAGCGCCTCGCTTTATGTCTAGGCGCCTCACTTCAAAGAGGCGCCGCCTGGGCGCTTGCCCGAGCCCAGCCGCCGGGCGCTTCGAGCGAGCGCTTGGGTTAAACCAGGCGACCGAACTAGATTTTTAGGTCTGGTTAGTCTTCGGTGCTTTATTTGGTTCAATCGAACCAATTAAATCACCGATATCAGGCTCCCTCTCGTGATTTCCCCGACTTCCGCAACCCTAACACTCGTGATTTTGCCGCCGAGATTTCTTCTCCGCTGTCGCTGCTCTCTGTTGCAACTGCTACTGTCGTTGCTCGCCACTACTGTCGTCGCTCGCCGCTGCTATCGCCGCTCCCGTAGTCGCTCGCCGCTCTCGTTGTCGCTCGACGCTCCCGCTGTCGCTTGCAGCTCCCACTCCCACTCCCGCTGTTGCTCGCCGCTCCCGCTGTCACCGTCGCTTGCCGCTCCCGCTCCCGCTCCAACTACGGCTGTCGCCTGCTACCGTTGCCTTTGCCTCAGCAGCCTCGGTCTTCTCACTATATTGTTAACAGTATATTAACAGTATACTGCTAACTGTATACTAATAATGGTATTTTTATTTATTAGATTAATAATATATTATTTTGATTTTAATACTATTAATTTTTATTTACTTAATAGTATATTTTTTATTTAAAAAATAAAAATATACTATTATGATTTATTTATTTATTGTGATTTTGTACCCGATTTTCTTAATTTAATAGCATATTTTTTATTTAAATAGTTATATTTATTAATTATATTATATATTTTTATATTTTAGCGCCTTGTTTCGCTCGGGCGAACACCTAGCGCCTCGAGCATTTTTGGACCTTGGCGCCTTTTGGCGCCTAGCGCTTTTTAAATCACTGAATAGTTCATTTCGATGTAGTTAGGAAGTATGGATGGTTTTGATTATTCTTGAAGAGTGAGAGGGGTCTTATGGGCAAGAGAATGTGGGAAGAAACTCAAGCAAATGAGCTGCTTAATTAGAGGATATTCTCATGCTTTAATATCTTGGACCATGTGTAAGTTGATAATATGGGATGCAAGTTATGGCTAACATAGTGATTGCACACTGAACCTTAGTGAATCAAGCTTGACCTTAAAAGATACAAAGATTATTCAATCCATTATTCTTATTTTAATATATTTAATCTATCTTTTATAATCTTGTTATAGAAAATCCATTCACTTATGTTCTTTGATTTCCTTGATTCTTGAGTTTGACTAGTATGTACTTGTATTATATTGTCTTCAGATAAATGATGGCTACCATCTTCTAGGAAAAATGATTATTGTAGTTGTTTGGACAAAGCAATTGGTAGTTTAGACCAAGGCTTAAAATCTTCGATCATTATGGTATTAAGATGAGTCAATGTATTGATACTCTGTATGGGTTGACATCTCTTGGACGAAAGAAAGAGGGCAAGAGGAGGTGGAATTAATGAAAAACTAGGTTATGCTAGTGTTTTCAAAAGGTGCTCGGGTGAGGCGTTTCAATGAAGTATCGCTCGAGCGCATGCCTAAGCCCATGCATTGGGCACCTCGGGTGTGTGCTCGAGCCAAATTGAGTCGGCTTCGAGCTTGGGTTCGAGATTGGGTGAGTAAGTTGGTTCAAACGAACTAATTAATTGCACTTATCGTAACATCCCACCCCCCAAAAAGAAACCAGCGAAGTGAAACCCTATTGCTTGTTCGCCGTTGTAGCTTGGTTCGCTTCATCTGTCGTCGTCTGCAACTTCGTTCGTCGTCGTCGGTTTCCACCTTTCTCCACAGCCTTTTCGTCAGTTACTTCTCTATCTCCTCAGTCCTCTCTCTCATTTTGTAGGTAATAATCTTTCATCGATTAACGTGTTGCACCAGCTTGAGGTGGTGCACTATTAGGACTTGGAGCTTAGACATATTAAGTTTATGTAGGTAGGAACATCAAATTGATATGAAAACACTGCTTAGAACATAACTGAAACAACACTGCTAAGAACATAACAATACATATGTTTTTTAAAATTTAATATTTAGGAGCATCTTGCTTCACTTGGGTGGGCGGGTTAACTGCCTTGAGCATTTTGGGATCTTGGCGCCTAGTGCTTTTAAAAACACTGGGTTGCACACTAGCAAGAGGAGATGACAATGAGGTTGATGGAGTCATTAGTGATGTGGCTAGGAGGAAGAAGAGGGGAGGGGAGAGTGTTTGAGAGAAAAATAGTGTGCAAGAGGAGAGAAAGAAGTAAAAAGAAAAAAGTAGCTATTATAATTGTCAGTTCTTTGACAGGCTTATTGTTTGGTTTTATCAATTAAAATCAGATGGTATACTCAGTAGTCAGTAAGATAACTATGTTGGATAGTAAGCTGATAGGCTATTTGACCGATGCATACCACATGGTATGTATTGATTTGAATGAAATATAGAACCATGGTTTGCATACCAGTTCATGATTCAACTGATTAATTCTGGCCCTTGTTGATTGGTATGCCTGGTTTTCTAATCCTTGGTTTAAACAATGTAAAGTTGCTCCTTGTGCTCAAAAGAGAAGCCTCTTAGTCAATTGATTTTCAATGTTTATTTTCAGGATGATTTATTTTGCATGTTGATTTGTCTATGTTGATTACTTCTTACATCTTGTGCCTTCTAAAAGGGATTCATAGGCTTATTATATAGTTCAGTACTCTCTGTTCTATGGCAGATGATGGCCTTACAATGGCTTTCTTTTTGCTTGATTTGAGACTGAATTACTACTATATTCTCACTGTGAACATATCTGACCAATTTTTCATAATAATGATTAACCAAATTTTACAAACATGTAGTTGCTTCCATGTGGCTGTCATCTTCTTGTTCTCTTTCTTTCTCTTGGTTTAGGATAGTGTTTCTTTATTGTTAATATATATTGATCAGGTTGGCTGACAGGACTGATTCTTCTGAGTGGATAACAGCATGCAGATCTTACAAGTGATGTTGAGGTAATTAATTACCTTACTGGATTCCTTGCACTCTTACTCTTCTTGTTCCATGTTATTGGTCATGTTAAACTTAATAGACAATCAAGTGGGGTCTTTATGTTGTATCCATTATATTAAATAAAATCATGATATTTGTAAGTTTGCATTTATTCTTAAGTACAAGAAATTGGTTTGTACATTGAGTGGTTTTTTCCCCGATTTTTTATGATCTTCAATAGGGAAGTTGATTTACCATAAGCATATTTCTCCAACTCTTGGGTTTTTTCATCAGCCCCTAGTAATTTTCTCATAACTTTGTATACAATCAAAATCTTGAAAAATATCTATTACTTACAATCTAGAATTTTAAAAAAAAAGGGAAATTGCTAAACAAAGGTCTCTGAACATATCCTCCATTTTTTGGATTACAAGGAGGAATTTTTGTTTTATAGAAATATTATTTTGCCAATAATTCATACAACTGCTAATTTACAGGAAGCATTTGTCCGCTTGCCTCTTCCATATGTTGATGAAGAGTTTAAGATGGGAACCATCTTGAAAGATGTTGTGGAGAACAAGACTGAGCCAGCTCCATATGTACATATCCGACGTAGTATCCTTTGCAAAATTCTGAATATTACTTGGGAATTCATATTCATGCTGAAGGTAACATATTTTGTACCAGAAAATGTTTTAAGGAATTTTCTGCCTTTTCTTTTGGTTACATAGTATGCCATTAAGCATGGAACTTTTTAATTATTTCTGCTGTGTATCCTTAACAAGAATAGATGTTTACTTAATTAAGAAGAAGCGTGATGGTGCTGAGACTGGTGTCGGATGCAGTAACTGCGGCAGTAATTCCACATGTAAGGAGAATTGTGAATGCAGGTATTGATTTCTCTATGAGTCACTTGTCTATGTCCATATTCATTTGATTGATCTGAAATAACTGTTGATAATTGTTGAATCAGCTTATTTTCTGAATTAAATTTCTGTTTTTCCAGTTAGTTAAATTCATCATTTGTTGTATATGTGCATGATGTTATTCAGGTTGCCGTTGTTTTCCCTCTTACAGTTAGCATTTTCTCGTTTTCTATTGAAACTCCCAATTGTTCATCGTTCAAAGTTTGCGAATGATAACTAAGATGATGTTTGATTTATTTATTGTCAATTGTAAACTTAGAAGGTATACTCGTAAATCGAGAGTCCATGTTGGCCTGAATGTATACTTGTAAATTGAAATTCTACATTAGCCTAAAATAATTTAGTTTACATTAACTCCTTAGTGGACTTGAACCTCACCCCACATATCCCACATGTTGAGGCTACCCAAGGGTATATTTCTCATAGGATGATACTTGGTCACTGTTCATATAATATTCATGAAAATTAATCCATTTAAGTAAAAAAAATCTTTTAAATTCTTCTAATAAAGCTATTATTGAATATAACTTATATTGTCTCTTTGCCTTTATCTTAGTGGATTTAAATGCTAACCCTTCATCAATTCAAAGGTTTACCACCCTTGAAATTCACAATGGTATATAAGCATATGATAATAGAATTATTGAGAATCTAACTTGAAATTAAAATTATATATAATAAATATAATTATGTGTTTTATGGAACCTAACTTGAACCTCAAGTCAAAACTACACAATTTTGTTTCTTTTATAAAACATCAAATTATGATTCATGATTTTTAATATTGATAGTAAACTAAATAATTAATCACTTAAGTATCTCATAACACAAGCAATATAAACATTCGTCATATCGGATATCGAGTATAATACAATTAATATTTTAAGCATAAGACTGTTCAAATAAATCATTGAATGTGTTCTTAGTAAAAATTTAATAGCATGACAATATTAAGCCCTCAAACATTAAGATATAACTTAGATTATTTATACATGATATGAAATTGATTACTTTGGATTTTATAACACATAAAATATTAATATTTATTATTTTATAAAATAAAATTAATATTTCAAGCATAACAATTCTTCATGTTACAAATATGTGTTAAAATGATTAAAGTATTAAATGTCATTGAAATCTATGTTTCCATTTCAATTATTCAAGTTGATCATTAATCGAGAATTAGTCTGAACTCATTTTAACTTAGTCCTCTATTTTTTTATTGATACATTTATATATACTATAAACACTCTTGCGAATAAATTGAATATTGCTTATTTGTCATAATGGAGTGCTCGGTTTAATTTAGTAAATCACCTAGTTAAACAAGCTCTTGGTTTAATTTAGCAAATTACCTAATTAAACAAGCTCTTGATGTCTGACTTTACTAAGTGTGAGATCACAAGAGCATGATATTTATTAATATTGCATATTAGGAAGATTTACTAAATTAGATTTACTTAACCAACATTTAATATTCCTCAATAATTATTTATTATATTACCAACATTATTAGCTATACTAATGTACCAGATTTAAGCCTACAGTCCTTTTTTTTCATTATTTTTGGTACATTTTCTTAGTCATGTTCTTTATTTTCATAAATTGTGCATGTCATAAATTAATTAAAATGCATCAGGATATAAATTTAGTACCAAGTCAGGAAAGATGTGGGGATGAGGTGGATTACAAGCATGGTCTGCAATTTCGAATGGTACCGCTCGGTACGGGCGGTACGTATCGGTCCAACGGCATACCGGTACGCAGATCGCCCGCTACCGAACGGACAGTGCTACAGTGCTACAGTAGGAGGAAAAATATTTAAAATCGCTCGGTAATCCCTGGTGTACCGCTCGGTACGCCGGTACCATATCGTACCGAGCCAACCTTGAAACATCGGTACGGTACGGTATTGCATACCTTGATTACAAGGATCAAACATATATATTTATGTTATTAATATTTAGTGGCCTCCAACCAAACTTAGATACCTTAGTCGTTACAATGATTAATTCCGAGGAAGTATCATATTATTCCTCTTTCTTTTTCTTCGTTATTTATTATTTACTATTTATTGTTATATTTATATTTTACATATCCCTTATTATTATTACAATTTTCTTCTTGTATGTAGGTCTTCATTTTCTTTTTTTATTTTTATTATATATTGCTCTCGTAAAATCTTTATTTTTTCTCTTTTACTTCTACTTTCTTTTTTGCTTTTCCTTTATCTCTTTTTCATTTTCTTTGTTTATTTATATTTAGGTATTACTTATGTTTTTGTGTTTTCTTTTCTTTCTTTTTTCTTTAACATTCTTCTTTTTATTTTTATTTTATATTTTCACTTTATTTACTATTAATTATAATTTGTTGTCACGAACTTTGTTTTTGCTCTTTTTTTTTCTTTCTCTTCTTTTGGAACAATAAATGCATGAAAAATCTTAAAAATAAAACCCTAATACCTTTTCTCCCAAATAACCCCATCCATCATGATTTTATTACCCTAAAAGAACCATTATATCAAACTTAACACATGTTAAATTTGATTTGACATCATAATCATTAAAAAATAAGTGTGATACAATGTCAAGTCTTGATCCTTTCCTAAGGTAAGTTCTATATCCTTCATTCTAACTAATTTGTATTGTTGGAATCATTTAAAAGAAGGATGAGAAGCTTTATTACATGTTGAATTCTTAAAATCGACAACTGTAAACAAGGAATCCAACAATATCTAGTATCTAAATAATTAAATTTGGACTCAAAAATGGAAAAGATATAATTTGATTTACTAATCAGTCCCAGAAAATTTCACACAGATCTTAGAACCTTACCGGTCAGTTCCTGAATATTACAATCAGATCCCTAGTCTTTATGAATCAATCCTCGAATATTATAAATTAGTTATCATGATAATATAAATCATTTTCAGTTAAGCAAATCAGATTGTGATGACAACTTATAAGGACTATGCTTACTTCTACACATGAGTAAGTACAATAGAAAGCAGGATCAAATAAGAGTTACCTCACCAACAGTACAATAGAAACTAGGAACAATAAGAGTTACATATGACTAAATACGATAGAAATACTCAAACTAGCAATCAAAATTAATGCAAATATCTTGTGTTCTAGGAACCCTTCAAACATTAGATAGGTTCATGCATCAATCTTAGTTTTACACCAATACCTATGACTTACGTATGCACTATGACACTAAATAATAATATTGACTCGTGGAAGATATTCACATGGATCAAAGCAACATAAGCATCCATAAATTGAAGAAAAAAAGTTAGAAGATTAATATCAAAAGATAACAAGGAGAGAAAGAGAGGTCCCAATATCATAACATCTACAGAACATAGGGAAATCTAAGGATTTGGATCCTTACCTTTGTCTTTGTAGATGATGCCTTAACATCATTCTCTATTCCTTGATAGCCATGCTCTCTACCACAGTGAAGGAGGGAATGATGGCTATAAATGAAGGGGGAGGGTTAACCCTAACTCTAGGTTCCACTTATGCTGTTAAATTATAAAATTATCCCTAATTAAAATTAATGTATTATAAATACTACTAGGATGAGAGGGTTTTTGGGTGGTGAAGGTTCTAAAAGAGGAAATACAAGTGATGAAATAAACGACATGGTATGCTGCTGTTTGTGTTAGGCAAGGTCATTCACCATGAGAACCTGATTAAGGTATGATGGGTCATCATATGTATTCAACTTTCCAAGAGAAATCATGATGTAGAGAGAAGTTTATACCTGCTGAGACCGATGATGATCAGAGTTATTGTGATAAAGAAAAAGGGAGACTAGTGATGACAGAGAGTTCTGTAAAGATGTTGGTGCTCAGTAGTGTTTATACCTATGAGAGGGGCTCTTGTCAATCTCAGTTTGAAGGAAATTATCCCAAATTCTAGAGATGTGGGTGTGTGAGCAATAGGACTAGAGTGGAACTTAGTTCAGCATCATCTGAGTGTACCACTGTACTTCACGAAAGTGTCCTGTTTTAGATGCATAAATGCATCATCTATGAAAGATTCTATCCTGTTTTTGTTATCAGTAGTTAAATGATGCTTGACAATAACATTTGGTGGTTTTCTTCAATTGTGGGGTCCAACACTTCAAGTTTTATTGTTCAACATTATGTTACAAGATACACAATATGTTCATTATTATTTTGTCTTGGATGTTTGGCAAAATGAAGTAAAGTTTTTCCTGCATGGTTCTTTTATGTTTATGATTGCAATTCTATTTTAGATTTTTAAAAGCCTCATACAAAAATCCATTGAATGCCGTAAACAACAGGGGCCTTTCAGTGAGCTGTTCCAAGGCCTGTCGTTGTTCTGATATGTGCAGAAACAGACCCTTCCGCAAAGAGAAAACGATTAAAGTTGTTAAGGTAAATCTTTACACAATATGTGCTAATTCCTGTGAAGCTTGGGTGTTGTCTTGTTAGTATCTTTTTGATCTGGTTTTCTGCACTCATTTCTAAGGTTCTTAATCAGGCAGTTAAGTTCTATACTTCTTATGTGCTTCTAAAGGTTTCAACCATGAAAATGATGCTTTCTTTTGTGTCACCTCTAACATTATCTTTTTTAATTCAAGATAAAACCTCCCAATAGCTATTAACTAGAAGAACTAAATAATCTTATTGAATGAAAGATTGATAACAAACCAATCATGAATCTTAAAGGCTCAGAAGAATGTCCATTATAAGGTTATCGGTGTCGAAAATCTCCTAATTTGATTCAGATTTTGATCTGGTATGGAAATCTCGATTTATTATTCAGAAAAATTCCTTTAAATTAGTAAAGATTCTTTTAGAAGAATGTCCGTTTATACGGTTATCAGTGTCCAAAATCTTCTAATTTAATTCGGATTTTGATCTAGTATGGAAATCTCTATTTGTTATTCAGAGAATTGCTTTAAATTAGTAAAGATTCTTTTAGAAGAAGACTGAATTGTCTGATGTATGTTGTCCATACCATTCATCTGTATGAGTGTGGTTGGATGCCAACAGTACTTAGGCTGATGGCTCTTTCTTGTTTAAACATTGATTGACTCCTAGGTCTTTCTGAATTCGCGAAGCTGCTCCCTAATGTGTATAATTGGAAAGAGGTCTGTTTGAAGTTGCTCTCATGACCGGCTACACTGGACCAGCAGATGAGATGGTTCATTAGAGCTATAGTCTGTTGAGCAGATTGGGTTTGCAATCAAACACTACTTTTGTACAGAGACTCATGCATTACACATTAAAGTATCGTGCTTATGATTCCCAAAGAACTGGCCTGCAGATCAGTTTTAGGATAGAACTCTACAAGGAGCTTTCATAGTTTGTACTTATTGAAACAGAGTATCATGTAGGGAATCTACTGCATGGAATTGCTTGTCATTTAATTCTATTTGATTTACTTTGTGTAATTAATTATTTGATTTTTTTCAGACTGAATATTGTGGATGGGGAGTTGTGGCTTTGGAAGTTATGGAAAAGGGAGACTTTGTGATAGAATATATTGGAGAAGGTACATAGCGTTTTCTTCTCTTGCTTTTGATTTTTAATGCACAAATGGGTATCTATTTGTCAACTTTATTGCAATATTATATATGGAAGATAACTTTATTGATATATAATGTGTGCACAAATCATAAGTTTCTTTTGAGAAACACATCAAAAATCTGGCTTACACTTTTCAACATGTATTTTTGTGTTATATCATATATGACTTTCATATTCTCACTTAGTCTGAATCTGATGGACAAAATTCATCAATCGAACAGATTGCAATAGGATTGGTGGATGCTTCTTTTCCCCATACTATTACATATAGGCCTTTTCTAAAATTACATGCTACCAGGTTGGTATTATTGGACACTTTTTGTGTACAATCTGATCAAGTGCTAATTTAGTTTTGTATGACTTACTCATAAATGCTAGCATCAAGACAGGTACAAAGTGCAACTAGAATGTATGTTACTGTGTCTAGAGAGAGCTGTCAGAAACCTTTTCAGTCAGCTGATTTTCACAAAAAAAAAAATCAAGTGATCTTGATTGATCCTGGTTGATTTTCACTGATTTCCATCTATTTTGGTTTGGACTCTTTCCAATTGACAGAAAGAAAAAAAAGGGGAATAAAAGACAGAGAGGAGAAAAGAGAGGAAGCCAGATTTAAGAGGCAGGGGACAAGTTGGGTGGCCAAATTGATTAACTCTGATCAGGCTCAACTGAACCAATTCTCTTGATTTGGGCTCAATCTGAGCGGGATGGACCCAGCTAGTGCTTGGGCCGCTTGGCCTCAGGTGTCTACCTAAGCATCATCTGACCCAATCGCCCCATCTAGGTTCATTTGGAGGCGCTCGGTGCTTACCTTCACCAAAGCACCTAGGTGAGTGCCAAAATTCCTTCTGTAATGCTGGGAAAGGCACTAGTGAGAAGATACTTATTTAGCTGTTCGATAAATCAAGAGTGACTCATAAGATAATGATAATTGATCCAGCTGTTCCATAAAATTGCTATTAAGACGATGTGTATAAGTAGCTTCACTAAGCTTTGGTAGTCATGGTTTTGATAAATACATTATGCTTCTGTTTGTTATTTCTATTGATTTGTTTCCATGCATGCTACAAAAACGCTATCATATGTGGCCTATAAGTTTATTTTACTAAGAGTGATCTGCAATGCATTGATATATTGTTTGCTGCTGTTACTTATGGCTTTCATCAATGTCTCATTGCTTCATTAATTTTCGGTACTTTTCCTGTTGTGTCTTGATTCAGTTATTGATGATGCTTTGTGCGAACAAAGGCTGTGGGATATGAAACATCGAGGCGATCAGAACTTCTACATGTGTGAAATACATAAAGACTTCACAATTGATGCAACTTTCAAAGGGAATGCTTCTCGATTTCTAAACCACAATTGTGATCCAAATTGTAAACTAGAGAAGTGGTAGATCTCCTGAATTTCTCCTCACCAACCACTTCCTTCGCCTTACCAGTCACTACTAACTGCCCTCTATCCAGAATTTTACTTGTGTAAAATGACATTTATCTTGAAGCATGTTACTTACCTTTTGGTACAGGCAAGTCGATGGGGAGACACGTGTTGGTGTTTTTGCTTTACGTTCAGTAGACATTGGGGAGCCTTTAACGTATGATTACAGGTATGTGATAAATGATGTTTTGTTATAAAAGAGCCACCAAACATTTTATGAAGTAAATTCAAGGTACAGTTATGGTGTAGTGAGAATGTAAGGCAATAGTAGAGAGAATATATTTCAGGGATAAGGGAGAAAAGATGAAGGTGCAGAGAAGCTGAGTAACCAAGAATTTTAGTTAGGGAAGAAATCTTTGCTTTTATTCATGTTACATGACAGTGGAGATCAATTTTGTCTAAAATGGTGTGTATTGACGATTATGTATGTAGTAAGCTTTTGTTTTTCAAGTCACAATCACCAACTTAGTGACATAGCTTAGCAGTGCCACTGAATTTCCATACCTAAGCCCCCTTTTCTTCTCCAGATGTTAACCTTGCCTTCAATCAGTCTGACAGAGACCACAACTAATATGCAGATCTGGCAACCTTAGGTCATTGTCCGGTTTTGTGATACACGTGCACACATCCACGCATTTATGATATTGCAAAAAATTTGTGATGCTGGTATTCTCAGTAGACTTTTTGGTCTGAACTAGATTCACACTTTTGGTTCTTGACCAACTTGAATTTGTCCTTGTATTGAAGTTTACACTTCTATGAATGTCTTGAAGTATCAGATGAAGGCATATCGTAGCATATTTGGTTATGCGAGAGCTTTTTTTGATTGTTGAAGAGTTAACCTCTTTTGCAACTTATCTAATATTAACTTATTAATTTCAGTCATCAGTTTTATTCTGGTATTGATGTCTATTGATATGTTTCTTGGGCAAAGCCGGAGTATTTAAATGATATGAGGCAGTATTTAGGCAGCTGAGTGGCTGCTTAGTTGTAAGCTTTGGGTTGCCACCTGCAGATCCAGCAAACAATGGAGGTGGCGATGATAATGAGAATAATGTATAAAGGAATAAATATAAGGCTATACAAGTTTGTGAAGTGAAAGTGACTGTAACTCTGCTGCTCACTAGTCAGGTTACTTTTGCTGCCCTGTTGCATTCAATTCACAGGTGTGAGTGGACAAAGTAGGAAAATTTGAGCATTGGAGGCTTTCCATCGGGCTCCTGGGAGCACTGGTTGAATAGATACGGACCTGTCCTGCCTTCATGAATCAATTGTCTAACCTGGCCACTCTAATGACTCACCATAAAAGCTTGGGCATGTTGGCCCACCTAAATTACTATTGCAAGGTAATTGCTATGCTAACTTGATTGTTTCTTTTCTTTTCTTTTTTATATTATATTGTACAATATAGAGGGCAAGCCTTGGTATAACAATAAAGTTTCTCTTTTGTAACTTGGGTGTTCAGGGAGTCACAATGGAAACATTCTCTATTTTGGTAGGGTATGGTTGAACACGTTGACCCTCAGATATTGCATGAGTGAGAGTCTCATGCACTCAGTTCACCCTCTGTTATGCTGTATAATATTGTCAATTAATTTCTTCTATTTCAGGCTATTGAATTCAATGAAGGTAAAAAATTGTTTTTCAGTTCCCCAGTTGTATTTTGCTTGTTTGTGTAATTACACATTTCCACCAATAACCTCTTTGTCAAGTTCCATTCCTAGCGTCGCACTTTGCATGTTTAAACCAACTTAACTGCATCTATTGCTGCAATTGAAGTTCTTGAGTGGTGATCAGCACACCTTTGTCCCTTCAGTTTTAAAAAAGTGAATTGACAAATGTTTCTGAGTGGTTATTAGCACGTATTGTAAGTGTTGTTTGTTAGCTTTTTTTTATGGACTATGCAGAATAGTAATTCTGAGATAGATGTTTCGTGCTTGTTTATGTAGATTTGTGCACTTTGGACCAATGGTTAAATGCCAATGTGGAGCTTCCAAATGCCAAGGATATCTGGGTAGCAAGAGAAAGTTAAACCAGATGCCATCCTCCTGGGGATGTAAAAGAAAGAGATCTATTGCCCTTCATGGTGCCAAGTAAATATCATTCATTTTCAAGTACTATTTGTGATTTGTTAATTTTTTCCTAGCTTTGGGCAGCAAAATCTGGCACCCTTGCCTCCTGTGCTGCTTCTTTGTGTTTAATTTGTGTCCCACTTTTATATGCTTCTCGTTAACTGCCATCGCCTCCCATTTGACCTATTGTTGTTGTAGCATATGTTGTTATTGTATTCAGTATGATCTGTTATATGAAATAGACATTAAACAAGTTATTGGTGTATGATTGTACTCAGTCGGATCTGTTATGTCAATATGATATCAAACTGTAGCCTCGGAAGTTGAGAAGATGATCTGATGTTTTGGATGTTCAAATGGATATTGTACAAGGTTGAACTTAGTCTAGATTTATTCGGGTGCCGTAATGTCTGTCTGTAAGCACACAACTATTTTTATGATACTATTTTATTGCAGTTCCAGTAAACATGGAGGACACGGTATGATCCTGTGAAGAATACCTACCTTATGGCAAATTGAAATTGTTTCAGAAAACTTGGTTTTTCCTTGTACCGAATGGTTTGATTCTGTAAACGATCTCTCTCGTTCTCTTTCTATAATTTTTATTTTATTTTTTTCTTTTGTAAAAGATAAATTGTGAAAATGGGATTCATCGCAGCCATTGCACGTGTGCTGTGGGATTTTGGGCCTCCGTTAGCATATTGTAGGTGTTGCCAAGTTATTGCATGGATGATTAGGGTTTATGCCAAAAATTATTATTGCATGTGAAAATGAACCCGTGTACATGAATGACTCATTGGACCGTCACCTCCGTCGGGCCTAAGTGGGCTGATGAGGTTGAGAGCTTCGAGCCGGGTTGTCGTTGCGACCTCTTCTGTCGGAGTCCCCTTGAACGAGAGAGTACTCAGCAACCCTTAAAAGACTCTCCCCGGCGTTGACTGGGTGGAGGAGTGAGTCAATGGTAGGTCCCGTCGGTGCTTGTGTATTAGATACTGTGCCAAGGCCTATTGTTCCTCTTTAGGCATCCCGGATGGTGGTAGCAAATACCGACTCCCGCTTCCACAAGTCATTGCTGCACTCATCTACAAGATGGTGATGGAGTAGAAGAACATGACTACAAAGCAACCCGAAGGAATTACTCTTTGTCGGAGGGGCATTAGTAAACTTCCAAGTATGGATAAACCGGATGGAAATATAAAATATTTTTTTCAACTGTTCTAAGTGCTCGGCATGACACAGAGATAGATGCATGAGTCAAGGTTGTTGACCGATCTCGCCAAAGACTATTGGACCTTTGGGTAGCTTTCGTCATAGTAATAACGAACGTCGACCCCTTCTAAGGAGGAAGCTTGCTTGGCCAACTACTACGGAGGTGACGGGATTAAGTCACTCATTCGAGTCTAAACTAAATGTGAAAGAATAAAAAGAGCTAAATGGCATCTCAGATCTTTTTCTAAGAAATTCTTGAATCCATGAATAGTTAGTATGCTCGAGAAGCACATATTTTTTTCATAATTAAGCATGATAAAGCAAATCAAAATTGGATATCAAATTGAATAGGACTTACTGAACCATGACATGATAAAGCATATGCTTCGAACCATGACAATTCATAATTAAGAAATTTTCTTTCTCCATCAGTGCTCAGATCCTGCGAGAATGATTTTGACATAAAAAGACGCATAACAATCTGTGCAGAGCTCAGTTTTGGGAAAAGATTCACATAACCATTTAACTAGGAAACTCTTTAGAGTAAACTATTTGAGCCTCTTCACTCGATCTAGTTAGACAAACATGCAGGTAATACAAAAAGAGACTACTCTTGATGTAATTTCTCATTTCATATGCATAGGGACTTTCCAGCAGCAGATACATGACACAAAACTATGAGAAGAAATATATTTGATTTTGCAATGAGGAATTGCATATATTTGATTCAAATGAAGGTTCCAGTTTCATAGGCAGGCAAGGAATTCAAATGAAACGTACAGATGCAATTTCTATCCTGTTGACATTATCATTACTTTAAGCCAGCAGATGTCATCTTCTTCATCTGATTTCTAGGCTATTTATTAGCTGCAGTCATTTCTTGTTGTTCTTGTCACTGGTAACCGAAGCATGGCCAACAATTCATGTCACCTACCAAACGAAAAGTTAGATGGAGCATGAAAACCTCAATAAAAATCCAAGGCCATCCTAGTCTTCCTAGAATCACATCTACTACTTGGAAACCACTCATTAGTCATTTGTAATATTCAAACATTGCTGGGACAATCTGACATCAAATGCATGCCAAACTAAGGTCTGACAAATGTGCTGATGAGGGCCACTGACCACTGCACTCACTGTTGTTTGGTTGACCTCTCACAATCAGTGCTTCAGCTCAATATTCAATGGTGAAGGGTTCACAGCTTGGTGATCAACTGCAATTATCAAAATAAGGATTTGCCATCCCTCCACTGTCTTCCTCTCACAATTTTTTGAGAGTCCATGTCATCTTCTTGGATCTTAAGCATTGAAGAGGGGGAGATTATTTGACAAGAAAACTATTTTTGGAGCTTAGCAAAAAATGAGCAAAAATCCATTTTACTATAATTTCAAAAAAGAAGCTAAATTGAGATAAAGAAGGAAATAATAAAAAAAAAGGTTTCAGTTCATCTTAAAAAACACTTTGATCATGTAAGTTGAATTATGTTTATCTTGAGAATCTTTTGGATCCTTAATCTTGATGCTTAGCATCTATTGTCACAGGTGACTGACTACAAACGTTAACAAGTCTACTCCTTGACAGTGAAGCTGAGTGTGACACCCTCTTCAAAGGTTATACTTCTCTGCTTCAAAATAACATGGCAAGAATTATGCAAGGCAAAAATTCAAAAGTAATTCTTGATGGGGGAAAAACTCAAAATGCAATATCCATGCCATTTTGTTTCCTCCTCATTCCCAATGAACATATGATATTAGCATCAAAACTGTAGATTTAATTCATCAATGATGGTTATGTTGTTCACAGGCTTTGCTGACCCAATTTGGGCTGGTCTTCAAGAACGTATGTCGATGAAGCCCATCCATATTCAGGCCCATAAAGCCCATAAAACTTATTGAAAACCTAAAAAATCAGCTTGAAGGTGAGCAAGAATTTTGAAGTTTGAAAAAAAAAAAGTTAAAGATAAACATTTTGGTTTATTATTCATAGCCCCGAGGATCTCTTCTCGATCGTAAAATTCTATTATTCGGCATAGGAATCTCCAAAAATTGAACAAAAAATCTCAATGAAAGGAAATTTAAGAAACTTGCAAGAATGTGGAATGAAAAATGACTCAAGTCTCCAGTAATATTTATCTCTACTTGAGAGGGAGATTTAGAGGAGAGAGGGAAAAGAGTCAGACATTTGAGAGTGACTTGGGAAGATGGAGAAGCTGAAAAGGTAGGGCTATGAGAAGGATGAGGACGCAAACAGTGATGAGCTAGATAAGGATGTGGTGACTGAGACAGCCTGAGGTGGATTGCAGAGAAGAATTTGATCACGAAGCCTAAATCATGGATAAAAATCCTGTAAATTCTCAGTTATGTTATTTCCTACACTCCCATGGAAAACATGTTTTGGGACAAATTTATTTCCTCTTTCTACATTTGGAACAATTTTCATCAACTTCCTTTGTGAGGAAGTCAAATGAAACATGTTTCCCTTTTTTTCACTTGTATCAAAACAAAAGAAAGAGAAAACAAAATTTAGGATCATAACTCAGACATATGGGTACTAATATGAATCAAAGGGATGCATTGATGAGAAAAATAATCAATTAAAATGTGCAGGAAATGAGTGTACCTATCACATAGTACCTCTTACCATTGGACTTTGTTAGAGTGTGTGACAGCACAGCACATCTATTAGGATTGCTAATGTAAATTGACTTGCTATTCCATTTTGATACTTTCACAACTCTTGTCCCTTTATTCTAATTCAAAGGCCAAGTACTTGAAGGAAGCATCCTTCTCATTAGCAGACTTCACACAGTCTTCCTCCTCATTTCAACCCTCCCACCACTTCTTTTTTTGGAAACATTAGGGAGATGTATACCTAAAACCCTAGTCTATTTACTATCCACTCTTTCTGCAACTTTCATATGCTAAGCTCTGAACACCACATAACCTTCTGGTTTTGTAACTAGGTTATGGGCAGTTTAAGTGCATGAAAGAAACATCTTTGTCATTCATCACACATTCTTCCTCCTCACTTCTCATTCCACCTCCTCCTCTTTCTTGCTGTAACAAGAGTGGTACATCCTTAGAACCCTAATGCACATCACTCTTTTTCTGCAACTTCCATATCAACCGCTAGTTCATTGCCACTTAACTAGTGAAAGACATGCTTCAAGATATATGAAGTGGTTTTGGCTTCAAATTCTTGTGTATATTGTAGATGGAGAAGCTGCAAACACTAATGCATTTACAAGTCTTCAGGAAAAATATTTCTTCCTTGTTGATGCTGCATGTTGGTTTATAGTTTGAAACCAGGAAGAGATGAACTTGGATGGACTCTTAAAAGAGAGTTCATGAGGCTATTGCTCGTGCAGTTTCCTAACTAAATCTCTCACTGCATTTGCACACTCTGTTATTTTTCGATTGGGAAATGGCCATCCTCTTTGTTACTCTCAAAAGTTTGTGCATCTCACACTACTGATCCTTGGTATACAAGAAGTATAAAAGATGAGGCTTCGGTGCACATCATCGACCACACATCCTTATATTTATTATACAGCAATTGTCTTGTGCATACATGAAAGCAGATCGTAAGAAACAGAAACCAGAGATAGTCCAAAATTGTGATGTTTCAGAGGTGGTTTATGAAGGTTCATTAATTGTAAGAGAATGATAGTGATATTTGCAACTGTAGAAGAATATTTATGACATTTTTTTTTTTTGAAACAAAAATTTATTACGACATCAAAAGACTTGGAGAGGTCTGCATGCAAGATTTCAAATAAATCAGAAGGACAATAGTTCTATCGAAATATAAATAGACTTGTCTAGTCTAGCTTTACAAGTCACTCAGTTGACTTATAGCAATGTAGAATATTTATGACATATTAAGTGTGCAAAAATACACATAAAACTTGAATTAGTCAAAAGATGAGATGAATACTTCAAGACTTTTCCAAGGCAAGAATCTGTCGGCTATCACACACTGCTCATCGAAGTGCAAACAACTAGATAAATAAGTTAACCATTAAAATAATGCAGGGATACAGAACAACCGGCCATCACTGAAGCTATCAGTTCCTGTCATTAGTTTCTTCCAACACGAGCAATACAGATTAGGAATTTAGGAGCAATCAGTGAAAGACTTGAACATTGTTTTCAGTTAACTCATGTGAAACTCATGACTCTATTCTTAATAAAATAGGTTGATGTTATTTGCATCTCTGTAACTCTGAATTTAGAGGTTTTTGACATCATTT